GGAGTTGTGGATGTTTTCAATGCCAGTGTTGATCCAGCTGAGTATCTCAATGGATTGGAAAAGGCATTGGCTCAATTCACATCGACCTCCCGAACCTCGAGCACCATCAATGACAAGAGACGAGGATCCTTCGACTGCACACTGCAAACCGCAGAAGCCGAAAGGGTCATGAAGCTCATCCACGCAATCCCCGGATATGATTCGCTGGCCAACTTCTGCTGCCTCACGGAATGGGAGAAGGATCAGGTATTCTCTCATTATCGAAGGAAGAACAACATCACAGGGGATGACGCCAGCATGGGCGCTGATGCCGATGCCAAGCCAGGTGACGAGTCGTCGGCTCACCCTGGGGAGGAGGAAGCTGATGAGCCAGCAAACGATCCCACCGATGTGGTCAGGGACTCAGAGAATTCCGGGAAACAACAACTTTTGGATGCGTTGGGAAAACTCTTCACCGTCTCTGAGGATGTCAACGTGTGCTTGTATTGTGGTAGCACCAAACATGGCCATCTTGAATGTGAACATGAGAAGAGAGATGAAGTCAGAAAGGTGCTAAAGGCCGTCCGAGCGTCGCTCGAGGCTGATAGTCCCACATCTGATGACGTCGATATGGAGCCTCCTGAGCACAAGAAGGACGGTTCAGGTGCTACTGAAGGGTCGGGGCAAACAGATGAACCTACAAAACCGAGGTTTAGTGAACACCAGTGGTACGACAGCATCAGGACTATGTCTGAAGTTGGTGACCTCGATGAGTATGGTAGGTTCTGCATAGAAGGACGTGATGTTACAAAGCTGGGACCACAGAACGTTGTTGACCTCAACGAAGTGATCCGAGACGCTATTGTCAGGGGAGGAGGCGACACTTGGTCAGTGCCAGACTTCATGGCAAGCTACTCTGACAACAACATCAGGAAGACCTTCTACAAACGAGTCGAAGCGCCTCAAGATGGTTTTTTGAAAATCATCCCGACAACAGGGGCCCATTTCTTCAACTGCCCTTACTTTGGCGGTGTAGAATATGCTGCCAACTACCGCTTCGAGACTGGCAACCGACTCGACACCTACGAGGACAAGGTGAGTACATCACTAAACAGGATCCTGCGGCACCATGTGGGGAAGGTATCAGAGCAGCAGAGTCTGTCCTGTGATGACGCCGGCTGGGTGCCCATCGAGGAGGTGCTCAAATGTGAGTCCATCTGGAGGCACGAGCATGCACGCTGGCCACACGTATTCCTTGCCCCAAAAGGGAGAGCAAATGATCAGAGTGCATGGAATGTCAAAGAGGCGAACCACCGCATGACATTGCTCTTCAAGATCATGTTCCACTGTGCCCGGTATGGACGTCGTGTGCGTGAACAAGTCTTGGCGTTTGGGATCAACAAGGACATTGATCGCCGCAGCCTGACATGCATTGACAACAATGTCGAAGCGGACACGCACATTCCTGATGAAGGTCTACTGCTCTACCCAGTGGCGGTCCGTGCTCCTACGGGGCACAAAGAAGGATCTTCAAGAGACGACGTTTCATTGCTGTCCTCGTTGCTTTCACATCCAATCGCACCCAACACCATTTTGTCATTACCGGTCTGTTTCCACATCACCAAGAAGACCAACCTCCGAAGCATTTGGAGGCAGGGGTTAATTCCAGGAGGTCTTGGAGAAGGTCATCGGATGTTCACGTTCTTCAACCCGTATGTGCCATGGGATCATAGATCATGGACCATCACGAAGAGCGTTGATACGCGTAAGGGTGACTACATTTGCTTGTTCATCCCGACCGAGACCTTGATGGTGGAATATGGCGGTCGACTAACTGACTCGGGACAGATCGTTTCACCAAGGATCATCCCGTTCTCGGCAATCAAAGGAGGATGGATTCAGGACCCCAAGGACCAATACAACAAGACATGGCTCGGTTGTTCGTCCCGTCGGGCGACGACCAGGTAGTCCGGTCTGGAACTATCAAATCAAGAACGGTAGCCACCAAGGAGTCCATCCTGAGGGTTGCAAGTCAATGCATCGACGCCGAAGACCAACCGTATGACGAAACCGCCATGGATGCCATGAACATCGTCAACCAGTTCAAGAACAACCTCATCGAGCCTGGCGGACAAGAGCAATACCTGGCCCGCATCAAGCTGATTGACTATATAGTCGAGCGCAAAAGGGTGCAAACGTCAGGTTGCCGTCATTGTCCTCACTGTCTCAACGAGACGCCGACAAAGCTAGCAGTGTGTCTAGTCTGCTGGACGGAACTTGAAAGTTGTGGAATCCGTCCATATCGGCTACAAGCTCCTGAAGACGATGAAGATGAGGCAACAAAGAAAGAGCTCGATGAAGAAGTTCGTCGACAAGAAGAATCGTTGTTCAAGGATACGGTCAACCAAGCACAAGAAAACGTATCCGAATCCAACGACTATGGCTTCAATCCTGACGAGGTCGACTACAATGAAGGCGATGATGAGGAAATGGATCAGGAGGAGGAAGCTCAACAGGAAGACGACGAAATCGTTGAAGAAGAAGACGATGAAATGGACGTCGAACCTGAAGATGAACCTTCTTCCAAACTTCCAGCGTGGACTAAGAATCTTGAGAGCGGAAGCAAGGGTATGCCGGAAGACGGACTTATCAACAATGACGTCTCCGAGGCCGCGGCTCACTTGTATGACAATGCAGTCATGTCAAAGGTCATCACAATGTTCAGGCTCTACTATAAACAGAGAGTCACTCTGACCCCAGAGGAGTACTACGAGATGATGACGGAAACCAAGCGAGTCCGGCTGGACCTGGACGACTTCTGCCCCTACACAGGCGAAGACCAGGATGGCAACCTCAAGCGACCGACAGAGCTGGAGTTGGACGAACTCTTTCAGGAGAAAGGGAACAGAAACTCATGGTCAGAGGGAGAGAAGATGTACTCAGGACGACCAAGAAATATGATGATGCCCGTCATCAAGACCTTGGAGATCTATGAAAAGATGATGGAATTTCTGGTACGCGCCGGGTACACTCCCGAGTCATTAGGTTTCCTCATGCCAATGAACCGAATGCAGGCTGATGCCCAAGGGAAGCAGGAGATGCGAGTGACCATCAGCAACTTTCTTCGACGGCTGCTGAAAGGAACCTTTCCAGAACATGAATCATACACCTTCTTTCGTTCCGGGAGCCACGGCTTCCCCAACTGCATCGAACTCCCAGCTTTCTCGGTATATCTGAGTCTGAGGGAGAAAGAACAGAGAGTGGAATTGCTCTTTGCCGCCCAACAATGTGGCATTCCTTTACCTCAAAACTTTGTCAGCAAGATGGCTTATGCTATTCAACTGGCTGAGGCCGAGGCGCAGAGGGGAAAGACCGAGATGAAAACGAAGATGGCTCCAACCCTTGGCGACGAAGTGGTGAGTGAAGTATTCAAGGCGGTCGGACATACTGCCGCTTCCAAGTTTACCACCGCAGCCAAATCATCAGCACAACCTTCACAGAAACCTGAAGGCACTGGTTCAGCATCATCCTCATCGGCTAGCGCACCAAAGGCTAAGGCTATGCCGAAATCCCATGAACCATCAAAAGCACCACCTGCGAAGCCTTCATCGCCGAAAGCTGCTCCGAAACGTGCGGCAGGATGGGAGAGAACTCCAACAACACCTCAATGGAAGAAAGTCCGCCGTGAGCAGTAAACCTATTACCTCTGTCCGTCAAAATGATCACTGGACTATAAGATGTTTACCGTCTTTATGAACAGATGATCAGGAAAAGACCAACTGAGTGGACTCTGAGCGAGGCATTAGACTAATTCGCTTAGGTTCAAAACTTGTGATATTCCCAATCTGCACGAAATTCTGCATTGTGCACGTGAATTCGTTAGTTAGCATTGTAAATCTTTGGTAGCGAGGCGATCCATTTCTCCCGACGGGTGAGTGGCATGCTTAGCAAACGTAGAAAAGTAGATGTTAGCTAGCAATAATTCGCGTTGTACAGCTTGATGAAGCGCCGATGCATCAACAGCCAAAGAGTAGGCGAACCCTGAACCATTATTCCCGTCGGGTATGTGGGGAAGGGGGAGCCGAATGGCATGTTTTATGTACATAGGCGTAATTCGAGCAGCAGAAGGATGTAATTCAAAGTTCCCACTCTCGTGCCTACGTTTCGAAGATGACGTAGGCATGGGGGGCGCGAAAGGGAACTAGGTAATACAACCATTGCACATGCTGAGCATGTAGACAGTTTTGCATGGACTGCCAATCATTTGGCTCAAGTCATGCGCGAGGAAAAGACCGTTCACTGAACGCCATGCAGCGACGTTGCCCTGCACTACCAGCATAACCGGTACTACAATCAAAAGGGATAATCCAGAACAAGGATCAAATTGTTCACATATATATATATATATTGTATTTTAAAAAAACATATAACAATATAAAATAGCGTATGATAGCATCTAGGCATCTTAAATTGTAGATGATGTAGTCACTTGATGATACAGATACAATTTAATTGTGTACTGTATACTTATATGGTGGCTTTCAATGATTTCAATGCTTAGGGTCATGTAAATGTCATGTATAGGGTTGCAAAATGAAACTGCTCAAGCTGCTCTCATGTCGTCGAACCATGATCCCTGCAGGTGCTGTGGATAGATCTGTCAGACTGCGTCCAAGTTGATGACACCTCTGCAATTCTGCTGCTGCAAAGACTGCCACCTACTCTCAAAGGCACCTAGGCCCCGACCTAGATCTGCCTAGCCTTGATTTGCGAGCAGGAGCAGCATTGATTACCTTATGTCTGGAGGGGCAAGGCTGCCATGATTTTCACCAGGTGCTCGTAAACCAATATGCACCTTGCGTTTTTCTTGAAAAATCTTGAAAGATTCTTGAAAGCTGCTTATTGGGCTTGAAGTGCCTTCGGGATGCTTTCAATTACAGGTGGATTGAAAGCTTCCGGGACACTGTAGAGTCTGCCAAGAAATGTTTATTGCATCTTATTGCACACTATTTAGGTTTGCCATGTGCCGAGGTGTGAAGATCAAGCTAACTGGCACTCGGGTCTCTCAGCCAATACAGAGGCGCGTTGATGAGTCGATGTGAGTTTTCCGTATTTTTCATGTTTCGCAATCTTGCTTGGATGTGTGTGTGTGTGCGCCTTTCGATTGACAAATGTTTGGCATTTATGTTTGCTTCAGTTTCATGAGAGCATTCTCTTCGTCGTAGCCCCAATGAAACCCCTTCGAATTGTGACTGACAAGCAGGAGACAAACGACGGCCAAGCGTAAGTAGCAAAGCATTGAAGACTCGTTTTGAGCCAACCCTCACAATTAGAGAAGTGTTGCAGCATGTTGCAGCGCAAAGATACCACGTATGTAGTTCTAAGCTGTGTGGCGGCGTGTCTCCAAGGGCAGGCAGAAAGCTGGAGACGATTCGCCGGCTGCTCGAATCTCAAGAAAGGAAGCCTGGCTTGCTCGGTCTTCGACAGAAGAGCAACTTTTCAGCACCCGCGCTGTTTCCTGCTTCAATCATTTTCAATATTGATCCAGGCAAAAGGAAAGTGACTCAATAGATTCAATAGAGATCAATAGAGATCAGTAGAGATCATTTGCTTCTATTAGCTACACTATGGTGTCTAGTTCCAACGCTGATTCTTGTTGGCAGATTGTGTGGAAATGTGTGAATCTTTCTTTGCGAAGACACAGATCATGGATCATGGATGACCACGCTGTTTATTCGAAAATTTAGCAATGACCAGGTCACCCAGGTTGAGGTTGCGTCGCAGAAGCTTTGCATTTTTATGGACCTATAATGACCTATACTCACATATGAAACAACGAATGGCTATAGCCAATCAAATCTCAAGAGCGGCCCAAAAGGGCCTATGGGATCTCAGTTGCAGAGGTTTTATGGGATATATAAATGCTCGGAAAGATCTTCAGAAACGTTTCCATTTGATTTAATTTGGGCAAAGTCCTTGGGGCAGCTGGTTCAAGAGGGACAACTGTCACAACTGTGCAAGAATTGCTTCATGATTATTCATTTTTGGCATGCCCACAGAGTCATTTGAATCTGACTTTTCAGAGCAAAAGCACAGAAACTAAGTGCATTCAGGTCCGATGAGAAGTGCTGGCACTACGAACACCATTGAGCCTTTTCAGAGTTCACCCAATTTCTGCTCTGATTGACTGTTGATATCTGTTGATTCTAGTCCATTTGTTCCATTCTTGAGGCAGGGCCTAGCAAAGTCTCTATGAAGAAAGGTATTCTTGCATTCTACTGTTTAGTTGGTCTTGATTGAACTTGCTTGATCTTGATTGTGCTTCATCCATTTTGCCTGGCATGCAAGCAAAGCCATATAAAGCCATGCAACAATACAGTATCATTTCTTGAGAGATGAAGGGACAAATATGAGCAAATGATGAGACCAGCGTGTGAGTAAATGAACCAAATCTCAGGACATGGCGGAATTCAAGTTTGCATCGTCAACCTATGCGCCGAATGCTTACACAGGCAAAGATTGATCATGGAAGGCGCATAGGTTTTTGCAAGTGCGCAGGTTTTGACACGTGATTGCGCATTTCACTGAGGTCCCAGACTCACTTTGCCCAACCTATGGAACAGTACAGGGCTGCTGCATCTGCCTGCGCAAAGCCTTGTGCTGGGCAAAGATCTCAGATTGCAGTTTGGATGGTCCTGCTCTGCAGATGAAGGTCCAAGTGCTTTTGATGACTTTGACACATTTGTCCGTCAAGCAAATAGCACTCCACGACAATTTCGAAACAATCTCTGGCCTCTAGAAATAAGATGAAATGACCTGAACTAACATGAAATGATCAACATCCTGTTCAGTGTGACCCTGAGTGTCCCTGATTCAGTTATATGTTTGGCCAAGGTCTTCCATCCGCTTTCTTCTGTCGGTCACACAGAGATCTCAAGGCAAGGATTGAGGCTTCAAACATGGCGACCTGAAACGAATTGAAACAAAGAAAAGACGGCCCTGAGGCACAACAGGTCGAATCAACGCTGACACGATTTGGCATGCCCATTTTGATTTGCCAGCTATGGTGGCCATGGTCTGAAGGTTCGGAGAACGCGAAGAACTCCAAAGGCCTCCTCGCAATGTCAAAGGCTGGGCTCCCCTCGGCATCGCATGCAGCAGATAGCAGATTATAGATGTGCATAAGATGTGCATAAGATGTGCATGAGCATCACACAGTGCATTCTGAATGACTTTGGAGACATCAGCAGCACGTGCACCATACATGCACCGCTAATCCCTAATACAGAGCAAAAACTTCTCGTGGACGAATCATTCCACTGCTTCATACCTCCACCGTTACCACCGTTACCTTCCAAGATCTTCCAAGGCAGATTCAGTCACCAACACTAGCAATCGACGGTGCAAAACAGCTCCAGTGCCATGGTGGCAACAGTGTGGCATTTCCTTTGAATCATTGGACTCATCATTGGACGCATCATGGGACTCATAATGAATCATCATGAATTCTTATAGAATCATAAAGATCATAAAGAGGCTGGTCTATGTAGTCAAGAAATCACAAGAATTCATGCAGTTCTCATCTTTTCTGATTCCATGAAGTTACAAGCGCTCCACTGAGCTCCACTAAGTTCCACTGAGCTCCACTCAAAAAGCCTGTTTTGATCAGTTTGATCTGTTTTGAGTTCAGAGAGCTGTGAGAGTCCAGGCTGCCTGGAAGAAGGATTCTGTCAAGCGATGCGCAACTTGTTTTTGAGGCAAGCCAAGTCTTGACAAGACAAACATAGAAATAACATGAAATATAACATGAAATAACTAGTAGAGAATAGTACGGACGTGTACAGACAACATGAATTCAACCCTAGCTTGTATGACATGCTTCCACAATCTTTCATATCTTTCGTGACACGCTGACACGCCTGTGACTTTTGGTGCCACGGCGCAGGTTTCTCCGGAGATCATGTCCGCTTCAATTTGTTGGTTGTGAATACACTGGAAAGTCAGATCAGTGTTTTGAAGCAAACACCAGCCTAGGCTTAAAGCCTATTCTGCTAATTTAGGCATTGCAGCGAAATGACGTCAAGCGTTTTCGTCGCCGAAGTCTGCAAGTTTGTTTTGACAGGTTCTGCCAAGCAGGTACCACTTTTTCACTCGGGGCCCTTCAGAGTCGGGCCATAGTTAGTTTAGCATGATGCAACAATGCTTGCGTGTTCAAAAAGCAGGCTCCAGTCGCAGATGTGCACATTGGCCACGTGCTAAAAACTGCTAAATTCTGCACTTCGCATATCTTGGCAGCTTGGCAGGCAATGAAACTGATGGTCCACAGATCCACCAAGAAGACTCCTGGGCCATTCAGCTGAAAGTTGGAGACGGCTGTGCTACACCATCATTTGCTGTGAAATCTCATGACAACGCTGATCTGTATAAGAGCGTTAAATCGTATTTAAGATATATGTAGCGATTATTCAAAACTCTGAACAACAAAAGTTTCTTTTGCATGCATGTTCCAATGTTCCAGGGGAATTGGCCCGAGGAATTCAATACTCTCAGATTCCTGCAAGTTGCAACATATCATGTCATGTCATGATATGATATGTTGCATCCATCTCCCACTTTTACCATGTTGTGACCATGCTTGAGGTCGTCATTGACAGTTTCTTCCAGGAGAAAGGTTTGGTTTTCCAGCAGCTTGGGTTTGGCGCTCACCAGGGCAACCCGCTACTGGACAGTAGCGAATAGTTGGCATGTGCTTATCAGCCTTGATACATGTATATATCATTTATATATATATTATATATATATATTATATTCATTTATATAGCGTACGTGCGTTTGCTGCCTCAGAGTGTGATTGGTGACGGAATAGACTTTTCCTCCCACTCAGAGCAGTCGGTTTGAGTTTTTTTCAGGTCCTTTGATCAGTTCATTGTCTATGAAATGCAACGTGTGGTTGATGCGCCGATCTCAGCCATTCAGTAAATGTTGTTTTCATTCCACAGGGGCTGATACTTGTATGGTTTTTCTCCAAACTTCAACGCAATGGGTTTCAAGGTAGGGCAGGGCGACCAGGCCCATTCACAAAGATACCGCAAGAAAGATCAAGAAAGCTTCTGGAAAGAAGTGAAAGTGAAAACAATCTTGGTGCACGCGAGCTTGTTCCTTCTTGAGCTCTGGTGAAACGTGTGTTTGCTGGACTGAATTCTTTGAGGCTCAGACACCTATCGAGTGCACGCCACAGGAGCAGTACAATCCGGAAGAGAATGTGGCGACTCGGTTGATTTAGCTGGATACTGGAGTGAACGACGATATTCAGGACTTTTTCTCAGACCTTTCTTCCCCCCTCAAACTTCCGGGTGATTGTGTTCACGTTGCATGTCATTGCATGCACATGCACATGGGTGCACGTATCATCAATGATTAATAATACGCTGCTACATACAACACATTATATAATATTATATACTATATTAACATATTATACAATATTATACATACATAAATTATTGTTATTGTTATTATTATTACTTATTTATTATTATTATGATTTTTTTTATTTATTCATTTATTTATTTATTTATGTATTTATTTATTTATTATTTATTATTATTATTATTGTATATGTAACCCCGACCCGGTTTTAAAGATGGGAGCTATGTATATTTGCTCCGTAGTGTGTTGGCTTAAGCTAACGTATGGTTCTTTGCCCCGGGTGCCATAACTTTGTGGGGAACCCCTGCGCCTGCTGCCGAACTGCCTCCAGAATCCAGTTCTTTCTGACTCGGACGCAGTTTCCTCCGGCAGTTGAAGGAAGGCTGGTGGGGATTCTGAGGCAGGCAGTGGGTGAGATCACCGACGTTGCTGAGCAGCTGGGTTCCTTTCGCACGGCACCAACCCCGGGAGCAGTTGCAGGAGCTCCTGACGGGCCAGGAGGGACAAAGACCGAAGAGGTAGTAAAGGAGGAGAAATCAGAGGCACCAGTGGAGAAGGAGAAGAAAGAAAAGAAGAAGGACAAGGCAAAAAAGGCATCAAAAGACAAGAAGCGAGACGAGAAGAAGCGAGAAGCGGCATCGGGAGCAAAGGAGGCTCCTGTGGAAGAGAAAGAAGAGCCCAAGGAGGAAGAGGTAGACGCAGAATCCTTGAGGAGAGACAAGGCTGCCCCACTTGTGGAGGTAAGGCGAGGAGCGGGACAAGATCGTCCTGATCTCCAAGAGTCAGTTGACAAGTACGTGGCCAAGCACCCAGAGAAGTTTGGTCTAGGCTCCCTTTCTGTACGTGGCAGTGCCGCCAAGCACTTCAGGGCCAACGACGGAGGAGGTCGAGAGAGACCGCCCGAACCCAGGGGCCTTCCGCCGAGTAGGAGGCCGACTGCAGGAGAGCAACCGCATCCGAGAGGAGAGAGGCGACAAAGATCGAGGACGCCAAAGAGAAAGTCAAAAGGAACGAAGCACCGGCAAAGAGGCAGGGACTATTGGCGGCAGGTCCAAGAGAGGGACCGATGGCGCCGAAGGTACAACCAGCAAGGAAGGCAAGGGGGGGCCTCCTGGCATGAGGAGGCCGGCTGGAGCGAAGGAGAACAAACGAAAGAGGCCAGCTGGCGTAGAAGAGATAGACTTGGAAGCAGAAGCTTTGAAGCGATGGGAGAAAGGCTACACGGTCCTGCTGCGCTATCTCGATACACGGGCTCTGGAAACGGGCAGTGGGTTGGTCGTCACAGAAGGCACCTACTACCACCGAAGGGTGACATTGGCGGGCAAGGTCAACAGCGTCACCGTGAGCGGAGGAGTTACGACAGCCAAGATGGCCCTCACAGGGACGGGAGACGAAGAGCTCCTGAAGTTCCACACATCTCACCCAGGGGTCGAGATAAGAGCCCATGTCTGTGGAGCCGAATGCAACAAAGAGGAGGCAGCAGAGGACCTAGTGCACATTCAGGTTGGGAGGAAGATGAGAGAGGAAGGCGCCAAAGATCCATGGGTGACCAACTTGATGAAGGTGGCAGCCCCAGAGGACGACGGCGACGAGCTTGCCCTGATCCGAGCCCGGGTCGGCGGGGGCCCACGAGGAGAGGCCCCTGGGAAAGACAGAGCAGAGGAGGCGAAGGACCTAAGGGCCCTGGAGCTCAGTCCTGCGCGGAAGCGGAAAGAAAAGAAAGAGAGGAAGAAGGAGAAGCAAAAAGAAAAGAAGGCAAAGAAGAGGAACCGGAGGGAAAGCGCCACAGAGGATTCAGGGAAGACGGAGGAGCCCATCAGGCTAGACGGGTCCCGGGCCCGTCAAGCCTGTCAGAAGAAGGCCAGACTCTTGTTTGCAGGCACGGGGCTGGATCCAAAGGATCGGGTGCGCAACAAAGTAGCACGGAAAGCGAGGCAGCACCTGAAGAAGAGGACGGACAAGAACAGCTCGAGCTCGAGCCAGGACGGGAGCCACACGAGCTCCTCGGCAGGCCTGGAAGATGTAGAGGAGAGCATCTTCGAGGAGGGGTCAAAAGTGCGAGTCATCGCAGAGCACTTCCCAGGAGCTTTGTCAAGTCAGGCACTGAGATCAATGAGGCCCACGCTGTTGCAGGAGATTGGGTCCGAGGATCGCCCCAACACCTTGCAGCCAGTTGCAGTGGCCTATTATCGGCAGCAGCTGCAACGCCGTGCCGGAGGTCCCACGGCGCGGGAGCTGATGACACTCTGCCACTCAGTGGATCAGCTCCTGAAAGGAAAGCCATCCTCAGCCATGGATGCGATGATTCAAAGAATCAAATCCATAGAGCAGAGCTTAGCAGGGAGTCACTGGTCAGTAAGCCAGAGACAAGAAGTACTCCCAGCGGACAATGCGACGCTCACAGCTCTCCCCGAAGCTTCTGCAGCACAGAGAGAAATCTATCAGGAGGCCAAGAGCAAGTGGCTTTCGGCCTTTCCGGAAGGAAGAGCCCATCAAGGAGGCAAGAGCAAGGGCAGAGGAGAAGGGAAAGACAGAGGCAAGAGTCCCGACAAGGGCAGAAAAGGAGGAAAAGGGGCAGGAGCCAAGAGCGACGCGCCCAAGAAGAAGGATGCCTGAGGGAAGGAAGGTGCCTAGAGGATGAGATTGAGGATTTGATTGCGGGAGCTATGGCTCCTGAGAGAAGTGAGGCTGACGCCGATCAAACTGAGGTAAAGAATTATAAGGGAGGAATGGTAGTGGCCTCCCCTTCACGTACTGAAGAAGGCGTCGGTGGGGAGGGCTATGGCCTCACTAGCCGCTATGAGCCCCACTCTTCAAAGCTGCATGAGACCTCGACGAAGCATCGAGCGGATCGAATTCAAGATGAACCAGATCGGCACTGTGGGTCATCTGGCCCTGCTTTTGCTTTAGCGGCCCTCGAACAGATGAGCCGTGACCGCGCCGGTGCCCAGCAGAAAAATGATGCGCTTCCGAACTTGGGTGGCAGGACAATGGGTTCGTTAGGTCATGCATTGTTTCAAAAACTCTTAGAAGTTTTGCCACTTCGCAGCCAGCCCATGGGTGAAGGTAAAGCTAGGACTCTTTTCCCTTTGCCCACTTCTAAAGAGTTTATTTTGGAACTGCAGCCTGGCCTTACGGAGGATGAGCTTGCCTGGACTTTGTGTGTTTGTTGGTCGCTCAACTCACTTTGGGGAGAGGCCCTTACCAATGATTCACCCCCAAATTCTTGTCAAAAGAGGTGTTTGGATGAACTGGTGAAACTGGCGCAGAACTTTGCAGGGATGACAGTCAAACTCGATGACCTGAGCTGGGACCAGTTTCTACAGGTTAAAAGTGTTGACTATCGTGGGGATGAGGTCAAGGTTGGCCGCTGGTTCTCCTGGTCTAACATTTCACCAGCTTTGCCTGCCGAAGTAGGAAAAGTACCATTGGCAGAAGTATGTAGTCTAGGTGCTAAGCACTATGTGGAGGCATTCGATGACTTTTTGAAGTCCCCTTCAGAATGGCGCCCGGTGCGATCCCCGAGAGTCATGGTCAGTGACTCTTGTTGGGGTGAGGTATGCACTGGCTTGGTGTCATCGGGGGTCTGCGTTTGGCTCGAGGAATCAGAGGTCTTTCAGGTGGATGACTCTCCTCTTTTGAACGGTTTATTCGGAGTCAGTAAAGATGATTTCACAGATGAGGGTGTTGAGATTTTTCGACTGATCATGGACCTGCGTCCCCTGAACGCCCTGTGTATGCCTATTTCAGGAGATGTGGAAACACTGCCCTCTTGGGGAAGCATGACTCCTTTTTTCCTTCAGCCTAGTGAGCGGTTAGTCATTAGCTCGGAAGACGTGAAATGCTTCTTTTACACAATGAAGGTGCCACAGTGTTGGGTGAAGTATCTCGCCTTCAACAAGTTGGTGCCGCCAGATGTGTTGCCAAAGCACTTACAGGGTAAGAGGGTGTACATTGCCTCGGCTGTTTTGCCAATGGGGTTCTTAAACAGCGTGAGCTTGGCCCAGCATGTGCACCGTAACCTGGTGCACTGGTCAAGCGAAGCGGGAGGAGCCGCGGGGGTTAACACTCCTGAACAAGAGCTCCGCAAGGACCGCTCCTTCACGGTGAGCAACCCCGCGTGGAGGGTCTACCTGGACAATTATGACCTCCTTGAACGGGTAGAGGCCACTGAACTAACGGCCAAGAGGGGCACATTAGCACCAGGCGTCCTATCCTATCGCTTAGGCAGGAGTATGAGCACTGGGAGGTGCCCCGAAACAAGAAGAAATCGGTGGAGCGTGCTCTGCGCGCAGAAATGCAAGGCGCCACTGTGGATGGTGAGCGGGGTGTTGCCTACCCTCGAGAAGTGAAGCTCAGGCGATACTTTGTCCTCGCCCTCAAGCTCATGGCAGAGAGCGCTGGTACTCAGAAGCAATGGCAGGTGGTGTGCGGGGGTTTGGTCTACGTGAGTATGTTTCGTCGACCTCTCCTGGGCAGCCTAAACTGCGTATGGCGGCACATTGAAAGCTACAATGGCAGCGGGAGAAGGTTTATGAGGACCCCTGGGGATTGCAAGCTGGAAGTGCTTCGATTCCTAGGATTGCTACCCCTAGCCGTCCTTGACTTCCGGTTGGGGATACATCCGACGGTGACATGCAGTGATGCCTCATCAGGTGGTGGGGGAATCTGCGCTTCTGTGCGCACCACCATGGTGGGCAGGACGATTGCCGAAGGCAGTCTGCGCGGCGAATACCCTGAACCACGTTGGGATGGCGGGGTCGTCGTGATCGGGCTGTTTGATGGCATTGGCGCATTACGGGTAGCAATGGAGCTCCTGGGCGCCCCCATCATTGGCTATGTGTCGGTGGAGAAGCACGAACCAGCGCGGCGCGTCGTAGAGCGGCACTATCCTGGAGTCCTACACTATTTCGACGTCATGGAGGTCACAGCTGAGCAAGTTAGGCAATGGGCTACCCTGTACTCCCAGGCTTGCCTGGTGGTGATCGGGGCTGGCCCACCGTGCCAGGGCGTTAGCGGGCTAAACGCCGACAGGAAAGGCGCCCTACGAGACGAGCGGTCTTGCTTGTTTTCGGAAGTGCCTCGGATCCGCGACTGCGTCAAGCAGGCCTTCCGATGGTGTCCAGTGTACACCTTGATGGAATCAGTGGCCTCAATGGATAAGAAGGACAGGGATATCATGACCCAGGGGATTGGAACTGAACCACTTCGGTGCGATGCAGGGACCTTGACATGGTGCCACAGGCCCAGGCTATACTGGTGTGACTGGGAGATCGTGGAGTCACCGGGTTATCATATCACCCCGGGCAGCGCTGGCGAGCCCAGCGATCTTGTCCTTGATGGGTGCCAGGACCCCAATGAAGTTATCCGGGCAGGCTGGGTCAAGGTGGAGCCTTTGAAATCGTTCCCAACTTTCACGACCTCACGACCACGATCCGTCCCAGGACGCAAGCCAGCGGGAGTCCAGCAATGCTCCTCGGACGACTTACGTCGGTGGGAACTAGATCGGTTTCGTTTTCCGCCGTATCAATACTGTATGGCCAACTGCCTGGTGAACAAACACAACGAGCTGCGGGTCCCTGATGTGGCAGAGAGGGAACTCATGTTGGGGTTTCCTCTGAACTTCACCGCAGGTTGCCTCCCGAAAAACAGGCAGAAAGGTGATGAATACAATGACTGCCGTCTTACGCTACTGGGCAATACCTGGAGCGTTGTAGTTGTTGCCTCCCTGCTTGGCCAGCTCCTTACCCGCTTGGGGATGCTTGGGCTACGTACTCCTCAAGATCACCTCAATCAAACATCACCTGGCGGGTGTCCCTCAGTTCAGGGGCGCCTGATCCGGCTGGCCCTTAATCCGGGGAAACAGGCGCAGGAAGACGCTTCACAGTTGCTTGCCCAGCGCCTTTGCAACCTCATCTCTATTAAAGGAGAAGATATCCTCCTCTCCACCCCAACGTCTCAACAAGCAAAGTTCCACCGCCTCCGAGCGACGCTGCCAGCCATGTCGTGGAAGTGGAGAGTGGTCGCTGGTTGGAAGTGGAAAAGAGGTGGGGATCACATCAACAGCCTGGAATTACGTGCCATACTAACCACCTTGCGGTGGAGGGTTGAACATGCAGGACATTTTCGTACGAGGTTTATCCACTTGACTGACAGTCTTGTGTGCCTCCATGCCCTGACGCGTGGGCGCAGCAGCTCACGAAAACTCAGAAGGACCATGTCTCGAATCAACGCGCTCATTTTGGCATCGGGGTGCCACCCCTTTTGGGGTTATGTGCATACGGAGCAAAACCCCGCGGATAAACCCAGTCGCTGGGGGACGCGGGTACGCTCTAAGTTCCGCAATGCCAAAGCGTAAGCTTTTGGAACACCCTGAAGCCACTGAGCGCGCAAAACAGAGACAAGCCTTGGGCACTTTACATGACCTCACAGTTCAGCCCACCACTAGGAAAAGGTACCAGAAAGCAACCGAAGCCTTCTTTCAATTCCTGCGGCAAGAGGGGATCGTCATTCCAAAAAAGAAGGAACAGTTTGACCATGTTGTTTGTGAATTTCTAGAGTATTTGTGGAGTACGGGGGCTGGCCGGGGGCAAGCCAATGACACAGTAGCAGGCCTACAGGATCTTCAACCAAGCCTACGTCATCATCTACCCGGATCATGGCGTCTCTTGAAGACATGGGCAGTGAATGAAGTGCCAAACCGGGCACCACCCCTGCCTGAGCAAGTCGTCCACGCAATGGCGGGCTGGGGATTCTTCCATGGGCACAATTCTTTTGCTGTTTCTCTTATCATTGGCTTCTATACCATGCTTCGCTCGGGAGAACTCTTGGGTCTCCTGTCCTCGCATATCCTGTGTGCTCCCCGTGACCGGCAAGTATTGATCTCTCTGGGTCTGACAAAGAGCGGCAAACGACAGGGCGCTGCCGAATCTGTCATTTTGGGTATAGAAGCGGGAGTTGCTTTGGTCCGACAGTGGAAGCACGTTGCACATACTACGACTCCTTTGATTCTTTCCCCTGTAAGGTGGAGATCTCTCTTTTCTGAGTGCCTCACGGCACTAGGTCTTGATAGATTTCAATACCGTCCGTACTCCCTCAGGAGAGGCGGAGCAACTTGGTGGTTTCAAAAACACCAGAACCTTGATCGGATTGTGGTGCAGGGGCGATGGCTGGCCCAGAAAACTGCACGTATTTACATCAATGAGGGTTTAGCGGTCCTAGCCCGAACCCAAATCAATTTCAAAGACCCATCTATTCGTTCTTTTCTGCAAGTGTATCACAGTACAGTCTCCAATCCGCGTTTCTCCACACTTGAGCCTCCAGCAAAAGCTGGAAGGGTTGGGGACGTGGAAAGGACAAAAGAGACAAAGTCATCAAAGGGAGGAAGCGGGTAAAAGATCTTCTTTTTTTTTCGCATTTAGTGAGGACAGGGTTGACTACTGATTTCTTAGATGACAAGAAGTCAGGAGGTGTGGCTCGGCTTGCTTGTCAGAGGAATGAACCTAGTACTCTTTCACCCTGGGTTTGGCCGGGTGTTTGAGACGGTTTGCCTAAGGGAAGGCGGGTAGTCAATCCCTGTGGTTTGATCTGAATACTTTTACTTCTTTAATTTTGACAAATCAGCTGCGAAGTGGAGCAAAAATGTTAGCCGCACATCTTTATATATATATTTATGCAGAGCGTATATTTACATGCACGTACATATATAATTAGTGGCTCATTTGTTTATTAATTTTGCCATGATAATCATATGCAAAGGGAAACTATCATTCTCAAACCATCATTGTTTATCACAAGTATTTGGAGTCGTGAGTAGCCCCGGCCGAGGACAGCAAAAAAGCCGGGTCCTGAACGTGATTTGCAAACACCTGCTTTTTCAGTGATTCTGTCAGCTGTAGGAGACTGTCCCACCCAGGTCTACGTTTGGAAGTTTGGCCAGTTTCACTTCAACAAGTGGATGCCTCAACTACAAATCTGAGGAAAGAGAAAGAGGAAAGAAACGACATCAAAAACATGTGTTGACTCCTCGCATCTATCGGATTATTGGATTCATTTTGTCAAGTTGAGGCCAACAGTTGAGGAAAGCGGTGGCCAAGCACTACAGCTAACTCCCAGAGAAGATCTGCCCTTAGAAACAGGATGCAGGCGAGGATCAGATTCTAGAAGGTTAGTTTAATGAATGTTCTTATAGTATCATGTAGTACCGCAGTATTCATAACTAAGGTTGCTTTAATTTAGTAGATAGTACCCTAAACTCAATTAACTGTTTGCTATCATTATATAGATATTATAGATCAGTATTTGGTCATTGACGTCAACTTGTTGACACACTCGTTTCAAAGGACTTCCAACAGCAATGGACAGCATACAGATAGGAAACTCTATCGGCCAAGACCAGCCACTGGGATTCGCCATTCCCTTTTCTTCTCGTCAGGTTCAAACGGTTCTTGTATTTCTTGATCAGACCTTTGTGCACAGGGCAGAGAACCAGGGGATGTAGGGCAAGTATGAGCAAGTTCAAGATTCATGCGCGTTTCAATCCACTTTTTCAGGACGCCTTGTGCGAGAGGTTGAGTTCTCACTTTCGTCATAGGATCTACAGTAAGTTGCCCAATTTTGGTACTCGTACATAGTGGGTGTCAAGCCGGAAAAAGATGTATGCAATTCTATATGCTTTGTTACTTGGGTAGTTGTCAATACCAGGACCAAATAGTCTCAAAATTGGGCTCATGAACATCCCAACCAAGACGGTCGTTTGTTCATGTTCACCGCGGGTAAAGGGTTTTTGGCGCAACAACTACTTGACACCGTTGTTTCGAAGATTTTTTCGCCGTACGTATGCAACGGATGTTTGATGATTTTTGCCTAGAAATGCTGTTTTTAGCCTTTTTTAAGTTGTTATGGCTAGACGTTTTGCTTCGTGAAAGGACGTACACCCAGGCATGAGTTGTTTCATGCCGAGTGATCATGGGATTCCATAGGAACGCCCAGGCTCGGCTGAGACACCTGTCCTACGCAGCGCCTGTGTTCGTTGACATAACGCGGTCAGTGTACCAAGTCAACAACGTGACCAGCTCAGAGCCAGAAAGCCTTCGGATGGACAGAGCGTATGCCGTGTATGACCGAGTGTTTTGGGCATGTTTGCTGTGATGTGTATTGTTTTGTATTGATTTGTCAACTGACGCGTTTAAGACGACGTGTTTGATTCTGTATGATTCTGTATGTGAAAGTGCGCCCAGGATGGTGAAAGGACTTTGATCCAGGAGAACACGTACTCCAAGGTGTTTCTCATGCGCATGCCGATCATGGTCAGGACGTTCTGCTCGTCAGGTTTGTCATTGGTTTGTTTCTGCATGTTGCTGCAATTCAGCATGATGAAGCAGAAGCATTTCATGAACAGCTTCATGAGCAGTTCAACGATGTGTCATGATTCAATTTGACTTATGCCAAACTTGATCTAAGTATGATGTCGCATGTGCTTGGAGAACAAAGCTTGCCAAGATGTCAGGACAGAGTATTGCTGGCTAAAGAATGCCAACGACCGTCTCATAGCTGCAGATGTGCAAACACGGGCACATATGATTGTCAGCGCGATGCAAAAGCAAGAGAGCAAGATCGAACATAAAGACATGCTAGTTATGAATCGATTGTATGTATCTAAGTGCATGCAAAAAATGACAAGTAATGTACATAAATCACATAAAACTTAAAACATTATAAAACTAATTATGTCCAGAACAGCCCTTCACTGAGGTGTCCTCACTGAGTTTGGCGAGTGCGAGACCCTCAGCAATAGACACTGCATGACCTAGACCTATGCTGTAGAATGATTAGTGTGTAGGAATTATGCGCGTTATTTGCACAGTATGTATTGTTAAATTATGTCAAATTCAGGTTGCTGCAAATTTGGTTCAAATCGATTTGACATGCTGTTTGCTCGGCAAAGTGGTGTAGTTTGCGTAGCATTGTTTCAACCATAGACCATTTGATGAGCTGTGCCCCAATGTGTCAAGCTTTCACCAGAAGCCTTTAAATCAGTCTTCTACATGGTTGCTCCAGACTCTAGACTATGTCTATCATGTCTATATAGACTAGCCTTACTTTCCAACAAACTTCCCCAACACACTTAACACTGTTGATGTCCAACCGTCCAACGGTCTTTCCAGTCTTCATCAAAGTCTCCTTCTCAAGCTCTCCAACACTTTTGCCCTCCCCTACTCCCAGTATCTTTCTCACTGCTAGTTCTCGTCACACTCCTCACGGCACCAGTTTCTTCCTAAGAAAGATGGCTGTTCTTGGTAGAATTAAATGAAATGCGTCTACTGTTTCTACTTTCGCAATGATCAGAATCTTAGCTGTCAGCCTCCTGCGCATTCTTTTTCTGCATTTGGTTTTTACAGCGAAAGTAGGCTTTATAGTTTTATACAGATCAATATATAATATCTAATATATATTTATACCTGCAATTACCTGCGTGTATCTAGAATCCAAATGAATTATTTTGAGTTGTATTATTTTGAGTTGTCCAAATAAATGATTTGTTTTACTGGTAGATTGTACTTCCTTGTTCCATCATGTTCCTATATGTTACAATGCAAACGCACATATGTAATCATACGTGTGTGTATATATACATATATTGCATATATATATATGAGCAGGGACCCCCACACCCCCCCCCCACCCAGCCAGATGGTTCCCCCCCTGTGGCAGGGGAGGGGGGGTTTTCTCAGCAGCCAAGCCATGGTGTATGTAGTCTTTATAGTGCATATAATGCATATGTATCGATAATTAGAATGGATATACTATATGTAATATAGAGTGTATGTGTAGTGTATATATATATAAACATATATATAATATGTAAGATATAAATAGAATATATGCAATCTATATATATATTGATAATATATATATATGTATATATATATTTGACATATATATATATATATATTGATTGAACACACACATATATATATATACATCGTATATGTGGTTTTTGATAGAATATAGATAGTATATGCCACATGTACTGTATCCACAGTAGACGTAATATATACAATATAGGTAAATATGTTTGTTGCATAAATTTTACATAGTATATGTGGTATATTGAATATCGACAGCAATACACGCTGTATATCTAGAGTTTATGTATCTATATATATATGCATATATATATGCATATATATACATATATATATATACGTGTACAGTATGTACAATGTAAACGAAATATGTGATAGATACAAGATCAAGATATCAATCTATAGTATCTAGAATGTGCATATATATATATATGTATTTATTGTTTTTCTACTGTACATATGTCTAGGTTTGCATAGGTAAGCTTTGCGTAATCCATAGGTAGCAAATATGTTGTAAACCGTGTGCGAGGCACGCTATAGGCGGTTCGAAAAAAAGGTTATGATAGAAATATACAGGTAGACAAGGTCCGTTGACGAGGTCGTGGCTCTCAAGTGCTGCAAATAACGTAGAGATGCGAGGTTGGAGGGGTGGAAAGGGGAGTATATATGTGTATATGTGTATGTATATGTGCAAATAACATGCAAATACTAGGTTTTGGGGGGGTGGGGGGGGTTAGGAGTGGGGGGGGATACCATTGGGGGGGGAGGGGGGGGGGATGTGGGGGTCCGGGGACCGGGCTCATATATACAGTATACATATAATTTATATACATGCACTTAATATTGGTATGAAGTATATGTTCCATATATTATTTTGTGCATTTGGTTTGTATCCATGATGTTATTTATTTCGTTTTTTTATCTTATATATACACTGTATATATATATATATACTATATACGTTAGTCTGTATATATGCTCATATCTACATGTTATGTATTTTTTTTGTAGTAGTTTATTTTAAATACATCTATCATACGTATGTTGCTGTACATACATTGCATGTGACATAAAAATACATAAACTACATGCATGTTTTTTTTGGTGTTTCTTACAAAATTTGCGAATGTTATTCATAGAAGCATTTCGCTGGCAGCGAAAGTTCTACATTCCCAATGCTACCACAAGCCAGGTCCCCTCGATCAAGGTGGCTATTTTATCATCAATGGCCGGAGACTCTGAACAGACCAAAACAACCAGGTAACCAGGCGCAAGAAAGTGACTTGTCCTTAGGCTTTCCATCTATTTTTCCAGTTGTCAGGATATTGCCGGTCAAAAACTCCAAGCCAAGCTTTCGAAATTCAGGTTCGGAGAAGGTGCTCATTGCCCTGGAGCGTATGGCAAATAACTTTGTTGCCACCTCAGCAGCACATGACCATCAGAACACTTGAGCACATATGGCATGTATGGCAGTGGAAGTTTTTTCGCAGAGCCTTTTGCATTGAGGTCTATGCCTTTGCCAAAAAGCAACCCTCCAAATATGCCAGAAGCCAAGAGAAGCCGCGCCAAGAAAGACAGGAATGTGGGTTCTGGTGAAACTGGAACATCTGGAACTCTTAAAATTTCATGAAAGTTCTGAGCGGATTCTGGTGAGGCCTGGGTTTGCGAGATCCGGTCTGCCCTTTTCGAAGGTTCTGCGGCCTTCTGAGCATCTCGCAGTCGATCTTTGGTTCTTATCGTTGGAAGTTGTTATAAAACGATGTTTGAAACCATTTTGCACAGACTTGCACGCTACAAGGGGGGCGCTTTTGATATCTGTTGATCAACGGTCATTGACGGTTGCACCAAGGCTGGCAACTCTGGATTTGCTGTCAAGCTCCTCACAAACATGGGCTCAGCCTGGCATGTTTGCTACGCCTTCATCCTTGATCTAGAGTCTCTAGAGCTTCAATGAGCTTCATCCTTTTCATCCTTTTCATCCTTTTCATCCTTTTCATCCTTTTCATCCTTTTCATCCTTTTCATCCTTTTCATCCTTTTCATCCTTTTCATCCTTGCCTCCACGACAGGTTCAAAGTCGTACTGCAGAGGTCAACTCGTTTGCACGTGCCCAGATCTTAGCGGATGCCTGGGCTGTGTATGGCTGTGTGCGGACCATCTTCGTCTATAGTACAGTATAAATCAATATAAATCAGTATAATATACACACATAATTACGATAATTAGACAATATTACAATATAATACACATATTGTTTGCTAATGCCCACGAGACAACAGCAGATACACTCCTACTTGGAACGATTCCACAACCTGGTGTCTTGCAATGCGATCATGCTTGCTTCTTGCGTGACTTTTGTCCGCAAATCTCAAACAACATTGACAAGATTCTACATGATGCCTGCGCTGATCTCATGATGTCTGAAATCCCTCCACGATGTTTATTGCCCATGCTTGAAGCACTTCTATTCGCAGGACACATTTACATTTACACTACAAGTTTCCACATACTGTATGCTCATGTATGCTCTATATAACTCTCTGTGCATCATGCCAACTCCGAGCCAAGGCCCATACATCCGAACTGAGATCCCACTCGTGGTCATGTTTCGGGCACTGGGCATCGTAGCAGACAGAGATATTTTGGAGCGAATCGTGTCAAGCCGGCCAGCAGTTAGCATTGAGTTAACGGAAATGCAGAAACGCCTAAACCATCCTAAACCATCCTAAACCCTATGGATCCCTTTTGTTTCCTGTCTTATTTGTGTTCACGTGATGCCAGTACTGTTTGGATTTGGGTCGTGCTGTGCAGTGCTGGCTTGGGCCAGGTTCGACATGAGTGATTTTGCCATGTTGAATGCGTGCCGGTTATCCATCGAGGAGACTCTCTCGCAGGGGAAGGGATATACGATGGTAAACGATGATAAACGTATCGTTTCGAAGTTTGGAACATTTTGTAACACTGTAAGATCTTATTTTTTCTAGAAATTTCTAAAGCTATCCTAACATACGATGGAAACCGAGATGCAATCCGCAATCCCCGCTGATAATTTCTCTTGATGGGGATGTTGCCAATGAATTACTCAAGCTTGCAGTATGGGCTGTGACATTTGTTCAATTGTGAATGGCCGTAGTCAAGCCGATGTGTTCCTCCCTGCGGCATTCGTGTGTCCCCAATTCCTTAATATTGTGGCTGTAGCGGCACTGTAGCGTCTCTTGGGCTCGCTAACATGCAACTGGACACTGGGGCACATCTCCACATGTCCGCAGACGTTGCCATGTCAAATTGTAGGGGTCGGATCAGGCACGGATGCAACAGATGCCACAGATGCCACAGATGACCCAGAACCATCACCCCGATCCAGACAATTCCAGACAAATCCAGACAATTCCAGACATATCCATACATATCTATACATATCTCTATATATACCAAAATTATCCGAAATGGAGATAGCCCCGGCATGCACCGGCTATCCAGGTCCCCGAAGACACAACCTTGATCCACAGCCATGTCGAGATCCAAATCATATTGATCCTCTCCAAAATCGATGATTTCGCAGCACCACAAGCCACTAAACCTGCGTAGATGTTTGCATTTGCTTCCTTCAAATGTATAGTCTGTAATTATAGTGACTTAGATATACTTAGATGACTTAGTAATTTAGTACGCAGATTGTTGGCCATAGTCACGCCCACAGTTTTCAAACACTAGATCCTAGATCTTACTAGTTTAGGAAATACTGTATATATTGTACCTTTTCTAGCTTTTCTCGCCTCTTTCGCTGTGATCGCTCTGTATTTGATGTTGTAATATGTTGTACTGTTAACTTTTACTTTGATCCTTTTCGATCCCTTGTGTTTTCGAGTTTTGATCTTGCGAGGATGCTGCTCCAATCTCTACGCAAGAGATGGCCGGGCCCTGGGCAAATACGGCAACATACGGCAACAGAACCCAAGAGTATACCGAGTTCAACTGGCAAAAGGTTTTGGAAATTGATCATAATATGATATAATATATATATATACACACTGTACATATTCAATACATAACATATTTGTTCGATCTGTCCACACCTTTGTTGGCAAAGCAAAGTGCGTGGTTTTGGACTCTGCGATAACTTAGCTGAGATTGTCTGGTCTTTGCGGTTGAGGCTCTCGACTACATTGCCAAGCAGGGCTCTTAAGCCAGGTGGCTTCAGACCATACTGTAGATATTGTTGAACATGGTTTAAGAACTCCTCGCAACATTTGGCAAGTATTGTTTCTCTACATTTCTCTTAGGATCTCTTGGGTCTTCTACAAAATACATATCAATATAATAAACTTTACATAGCCTGCTATCAGTGTTTGTGTTTGCAGATCCAATGTTTGTCATGACTCAACTGGTTCAACTAAAAACATAAGAGTGTCGTGTTGGGCCTTGCTCCCCCTGCTGATCACAGCAACAGAGCAGCAACAGAGTCGCCCAAGCTTGTGGCGCAAGAAATCTTGTCGTCATTGTGATCTCTTGAATAGTGACTGTATTTAGATTGATGATTGACTACAATTCGGAGAGCAGCTTTGTGTTGATGTTTCTATGATTCCCTTTGTCTCGTGAATACTAAGTCAGGAGCGCAGCAAAAGTTGAAATTAGTTCTTTGTCAAGATGGGGTGGCAGGACACACAGACACACACACACACACTTTTGACATGTTGGTAATTGGTCTGTTTTTGTTTTGAAATTGTTTCATCATGTTTAATCAATAATGAGATTATAATGAGACCAACTGAGTCTGTCATCTAATGCAGGACGTATTTGGCACTGAGGCGTGGACCCACCATGGGGGCCACTCGAGATGTGCGAATTCAGCACTTTGGTGAAATGGCAGTGCTCGCGGTGAGGCATGGTGAGACTGGCCCAAGAAAACATCCAATCACCTCGACGTTTATCCTATCACTTCAGGAATCTTTATCGCATGGGCCACTGGTTCTTTTGCAGTACGATGTTGATCCAATTGATGTCCAAGATTTTGTGTGACCTTCCAAGGTATGCGCGAGAACTGCTCCAAAAGGAGCTTCTTCCACATATTGGGAGGTTTGGGGCTCTCAGATGGCCTGCACACAAGATTCCTAGGTACCCAAGCTAGGCTCACGTTGTGTGTTGTCGACTCAGCACATATTCATGATTTTTGGTTGGTGCACGACTTCTAAGCAGAACCAACAGGAACTGGGAAGAAGGAATCACCAGCACAAAGCAAGTAGCTAGCAGGATGAATGTATGCAGCTAGAGGACAGCGGGGCAAGTCAAAAGCAACCTTCCAGGGAATGCTAGTAACAAGGTCGATGCTGCTTTACGTAAATAAACACAAGTGCGACGCACAAGACCGAGTGAGATGAACTTTGAACGCCACGACAATAGATTTGCCCCCAAGCATAATGTAGTATGTGTAGTGGTGCAAAGAATCAGAAGAAATCTCATGAGTTCATTGAGTCTATTCGAAAGATATAGTCGAATCATGTCGAAACATTAATATTATTTAATATTCTACTTTGCTGTGAGATCCGAGCTCAGACTTGAAAATAGCACCAAATAGTTTCAAAATGTTTCAAAACGCCTTGTTTGCATTTGGTGAGACTCTGATAGATTCTGCATTGTCTCATGACCAAGAGATAGTCTGTGCAGGATGTTCGTTCATAAGAAATTCACAGGATATGATGTGTTCTATTTGTGTTCTTGTATTTTCTCGCTGAGTTTCCCTCCTTTTCGGTCCTTCAGTGCTGGAAGTGATTTCCTTTCAGTGTCAGGCCTTTGGGCATTGTTCAGAAGATGTATCCGAATGTATCCACTCAACCCAAGCTCTACTCCACTTCGCTTTCCTATTGTTTGAGCAAACATGATCAAACTGACTTTTAATGACTTTTACCTTGTGAAACTCTGAGGACGCGCAACATTGAAGGTCGCAAAGCCTACTTCATTGGCTACATGACCAACCGTCTTCTCCTTGGTATGAACCCCAGTTCTAGCATAGTGTCGTTGTGTTCGATGTCGAATGATCAAACAATTATGTTATAAAATATATACTTCTCTATACTTCTTATTCTGGTCCTCTGCCTAAAGCTGTGTTATTTGACTTTCATTCAGTCAATGAGATCCTCAAGATCCTCAAGCCACCAGGCTTTCTGGGAAGAAATCCCGAAGATGATCGAGATCATTTTGGGAAGAAACGGATTCTGGGCGACCAATCTTGGCATAGCTAGGCATATTGCGATTGTCATATTTTGACACTTCTTGACTCCGGAATACTCCTAATATTGGATGAATATAATGGGATTGGTTCTGTTTATTCTAATCAACCTTCAGTGACGCTTTGTGATTTAGGCAAAACATGACGTTCAGATCCGTTGGGATTAGTATCACCACCATTGCTTTAAAATCCTTGTGGCGTCAGACTCTGGACTGAAGTGACTAGAGCACGAGCCTGCTGTCTACCAAAGGACTGCTTTGTTGTGTCCCTACAGTACTGAATATTCTTTGTGCAGTGTATTGTACATGGCCTATTGATAGTGAATGAGTGAATAGATGTAAATAGGAAATCCCTTATGCAAAAGCCGTACTGTAGAATAATCCTGGAGGTCAGTGTTGGTGGGGTCATGTCCAAAAGCCCTAACATACATACTACATACTTCATTTCATGACTGAGGATCGACTTGGCAGGTGCGCTGGCCTGACCCTCATCAATGATACGCCGAGTCCCTCCCATGTTTCCCCAGTCTGACTCTTCCTGAGGTCTCCGCGTCATTTACTGGTCTTTGGCGCAAAACTGTCAAGGCATCAAGAACACTGCAGCGTGTTGTGAGAGATGTTTGAACAAGTTGAGGAACGAAAGTAAATGAAAGTGCATCAAACGGACTAATTCGACAGCGTCAAATTTGCTTGCAATGCCTTGCTCCTCGAAGCCTTTCAATTGGTTTGCCCCTTTTGGAGGACCTGCGAAAAGTGTTGCAGCGTATGCTCAACAAAGGCAAGGTACCTGAAGACATCCAGGAGTGCTTGAAGCAGGCCACACTGCCCAAAATGTCCAGACTGCTGCATACATTTACATCAATTGTAGTTTACTCCATGTTATCCATGTTTAGACTTAAAGCATTTGCCGTTAGAACTTTCAAAGTCCTCGCTCCGGCAGGCATCCTGCTTGAGTCAAGGCATGAAGTACCAGTTCGCGACCGGAAACTGGGGCCAGGACAAGTTTTGATAAGTTTTGCCTGCCAGACCGGTTGACTGAACTGGTACTGTATGGTTTGGCTGAGCATGGCTGAGCTGGTTCAATGTGGGGCCACATGTATAGACCATTAATGACCATTATAGACCCAAGTCCCTTGGGTGAAGCTCAACATACATAGAATATCATAGAATACTAGTTTGTCATAGTTTGTCCACCTTCCAGACTTTTCGGCAAAATTGGTTTTGCAGCTACCCAATGACTTTTGACAGACTCAAGACTCGAGACTCGAAAGGACAAAGCTGGAAAGCCAGTTCGGGAGACTCAGACACAGCTCGAAACCGAAAGCGGCGCTAAAGACCAAGAAATCCATAGAAATCCAAGAACTGCAAAAATTGCCCTAATTTGCCCTTCATCGCCCTGACCTTTGCATTTTGCTTCAAGGATTTCAAGGCATAGTACTTCGTTCGCTCAGATCTTCAAAGCATTTCCATGGATCTTGTCGACGGTGCTCTTGGGTCAATCTTGGAGTTGTATATTGAATTATATTGATATATTGACATATATAGACAATATGACTCATGTACATTGGATATCATTGGATGGGTAGGCACATACTGTACATACATGTACATAGTGGTTTATGTTGAACATTGACATGATGCGAGTATGTGTCATACGTTGGTTATAGTCAGAGGTGATTTTGATTGATTTGATTGATTTTACATGATTTTACGCACTATAGAAGTGGTGAATCGAATGGTCAAATGGCTTTTACTCCCCTCGCATTCCTTCATAGTCGTAGACCTCGAAAAAGTGCTGAGGTTCGCACAGGCATCTCACAGGGTCTGAATCGGCTAACCTTCATGGCCACTTTGTCTCATTTGAGGTGCGAGTCGAAGTTGAATGAAGTTAGTTTGTACATGAATCATTGGAAATCATCATGTGTTTGTAATGTTTGCAATATTTTTGCAGCTCGATGCTTCTAAGAGCGGTGGCAAACCAAAGCGCAAGGCGCATGATCACACCTTTGGCCCGTTCTGGAAAGCTGGTGAAGCCCAGGTGGGGCATGTAGGAGCCCAGTTTGAGAATCCTCAAGGGATGATTCTTTGGTTAGTGACTTTCAGATACTTTCAGCATGGAAATCACATTCTTTGCTGGGAAGATGAAGTCGGAGATGTGAGGCAACTTCACAATACCCACTGGGGCTTGGTGTGTCCTGCAGAAACGCCCGAAGGGCAGGCGCTACAAACAGAGAGAACACAGCTGACATGCAATGACATTCATGAACGGTTCTGCTGATGTTGAATGACTTTGAATGAGTTCCAATGCATTCTAACGCGACATAAGGACACATCCAAGCCACCGCCCGTGTTTGGTTCCATCAAAGACAAGAGTAGTGGAGATTGACAAACAGCCGCACTGCAGCAGGCAGTGGGATTGGTGAAGAACATCTCTCTCATGTTGTGCACTGAGATGTTTGCATGTTGCATTGCTGCTGCGCGGGGCGTGAAAGCATACCAAAGGAGTGGAAGAGACTTGACATGCTGTCAGTCAATCGTGGCTGCCCATGTAGAGGAAAGTCATTAGCTCTGAAATGCTCTGAATACCTTGGAAATCCTTGCAACATTTTGAAAGACAAAACAACGGCGCATGTTTGGCCGCCAAGGTGCTGGATCACGCTGGGAGCTGCTGGCGACCCGGAAAGTGAGAAGCGTCTTGATACAGATGGATACCATTGGGAATCGATATACGTTGACATAATTAATATTTATATATATATATGTATGTATGTTTGTATGGATGTATGGATGTATGGATGTATGATATGTATGATATGTATGATATGTATGATTGTATGTATGTTATGTAATGTAATGTAATGTAATGTAATGTAATGCAGTGTATGGAATGTATGGAATGTATGTAATGTATGTAATGTATGTAATGTATGTAATGTATGTAATGTATGTAATGTATGTATGGATGGATGGATGGATGGATGGATGGATGGATGGATGCAGTACAGAAAACTACAATTACACACATACATCTTATGTATATATATATATATGTGCGTGTGTTTATGTATACATGACTACGTGTATTCATATATGTATATATAATGATATGTAATGTATACACGTACATATACACGGTGGGGTCTTGTTTGTTTTGCTTAGGCCCAGACTATCATAGAGGACTTCCTCGACGAATGGGGTGCTGGATGCTAAGGACATCCGCAGGGTCAAGCCTCTTAAAGCCCTTGGGCATTTTGAGGCGGAAGAGCATTTTAAGATATTCCACGCAGTTTTGCTGTGCTTGTTGAAAACTCCGACACTTCAAAACTGTTCAAGTTTTACCACGTTTTATTTTTTACATAGGGTACAGTATCCGAAGCAATGCACTGAGATAGGTTGCACTTGTAACAGATCCTAGAGCATCCTAGAGGTTCAAGCGAAGGTGTTTTTCCCCACCAGATCCACCAGGGAAGGGTCTCTAGATTTATGTCAGCTTGCAGCTTGCTCCTCCTCCTCCTCCTCCTCCTCCTCCTCCATCCTCCCCTCCTTCTGCGCCCTCCCACTATCGCAAGCTTGCAGGCTCTCTGGGACTCGCCAGGCCCGAACACTATGTCAGATAGAATGTCGGTTGGGGATCACTCAGGCACCAATTCTTCAAGCGTTTTTGGTATTTTAGGTCCTCAAAACTCTATGAGGTCTTCCTTGCAGTGCATCCCTGCACGATTGGCACTGCTGAAACATTGCCATTGTAAAGACGGGCCATAGGAACGACTTCTGAAATCAAGCGGGCTTCAGGAAGGTCAGGCATGCAATGTATAAAAGGAAAGATAAGAAAACTATCAAGGGGAGAAATGACTGCACAATTTGTACAGGATTGTTTGATATTGCAGCAGGTTGTAGTAAGCTCTGTACTAGATTGACTTAGAACTTCAGTGAGCCCTTTGTTTCTTTAGATTCTTCTTTGATATTATATTTGTACGACCACCAGCAGTAGAAAACACCAGCGCGACTCCTGGGTACATAATTTCATGCAATTTCTGTACTGTATGTCTATCGGTATGAATATCTATACATATGTTTAAACATATAAGCATATAGCATCATATAGCAATGTTACACTTCACTACATATGTCTCTATATATATATATATGTATATTTATTTCTTTCTTTATTTATTTGTGTTCGAAGGAAGTTTAGAAGTCAAACTTCCGATAATGTGGACAGATGAAAAGCAGAGATGGGAAGAGTCAGAGAAGAGAAGAGAATAAGAAAGAAGATCAAAAAGAGAAAGTCTCCGAAGAAAGAAGATCCAGGTGCGCGAAAAGGTAGGAAAGTCGCGAAACACTGTGTTTTTCCAATGATTTGTGGCTCCGGAGGGTTGAAAAGTAGGCTCGCTAAAGCGGCGGGTGCCGAGCCAGCATGAGAGATAAAAAATTGCACGCCGTTGTGGCGCGAAGCACATTTCCAAGTCAAAAGGCACAAGACACACCAGGTCCGGAGAACTTTTGGAAGTTGAGATGTCGAAAAAGTTCCCTGTGTAAAAGTTGCCGTGTTAGCTTGCTGTGTGTAAAAGCCTGCTTTTTGTAAACTCCTAAAGGCAAACCTTGTCTTTGGATCCTATAACGTCGCAGTTCTTAAACCTGGAAACTTCCGCCACCCGCCTTGCGCGGGTTCTACTTGTACATGCATACGCACCAGGCCCTGCAACCCCCCGGCCCCATATGGGATCCTCCCTCTCTTTGGTAGTTTGGTCGTCAACAGATGCCAGGTACATAGTATTGGGAGTTGCATACAGGTTCTATTTAGATATAGGTGTATAGGCATGCAGTGGGTAACACATTGGGCGTGTATTATATAGGTTGTATAAGGTACTGATATATATCCAGAAGTACAAGTAGATATATATAGAGGTACGCTACTAGCAATATACCCCCCCATAGGATACCTCCCCTCCCCACCCTGTGGTAGTGCCTGTGATTGGTGGGGGCGGTAGTTATGTAAATTGGTAGTCAACAGATGCTAGGTACATAGTATCAGGAGTCACCTACCGGTTGTATATACGTATATAGGTATATAGGCATGTAGGCATGGAATGGGTAATATATTAGTTATGTATTAGGTTATATCATGATGCATATATTCGGTAACTAGAATATTCTAGAAGTATATTACAAGTAGGCAATATAGAGGTTGTATATAGGCACGCACTAGGTAATAGTAATATATTAGGTATATGCTAGGTACTATAGGCCTAAACACTATATAAGTAGGTAGTGTTAGGTATATAGGTACGATATGAGCAATAAGGTTTTAGAGGTTATACATTCTTGTTTGGTATCAGTATATAGTATTAGTATTGGGTATATGAGGAACCGACCAAATTAGCAGAAGACAAAAGTAGTTTAAAGTAGTAGGGAGTGGACTTGGGATGTGCGAATTTATGTGAAAGCCTTCACAACCGATAGGGCCGATAGGAGACCACCCACTACCGATACCCGATTTTTTTACACAGCATGGAAGTACAAACCTTCACAACCGACGGGGGGCCACCCACTTTGGCATGAAGTAGTCGGTAATTGTGCCAGCCACTCGTATAGGTATGCTATTAGCCATACATATATTCAATATATAGGCTGCATACAGGCATGCAATAGATTATAGTTTGCAGGAAATATGTAAGATAGTAAAGTATGTGGTCTGACAGTAGCAGCATCGCAAGTATAGCAAGTATAACAAGGCAAGATTAGATTAGTCCCGGGCATTGCTTGGGATGGGTTGGCAGGAGGGAGGAGGCAGGGCAGGGGGAGGGCAGGGTTGTAGTGTAGTGTTTAATGTGGGAGGGGATGAGGGGGTACCAGCCCATTCGGGTGGGGGGGTACGGAGACGGAGGACGGGACCATACATGTGTGCGTGTGCGCGTGCGTGGGTGTGTCTGTGTCTCTGCGTTTGTGTCTGTGTTTGTGTATGTGTGTACCCTTGGGTCGGGAGGTTCTGCGATAGCTTAGAGTTGCAATCAAGGCCGTGTAGTTCCTCTTGTTGACTTGCCTGTTCCTGGCGACATTTGCGACCAAGCACTTGTTTAGAAATGCTCCCTACAGCAATATACGGGCGCGAAAAGAGAAAACACATGAAAAAATAATTATTGTCCAAAGGCCGCTTGAATGACAAGATGATGTGCGTTCAAAACGTTTGTTCTACTGGTACCACCCAAAAGGAACAACGTTTTGAATGTGCACAACATCCTTGTCCTTGACCTATCGGCTGCATGCAGTTTGCCTCACAGAAGACACTCAAGGCTCAAGGATAGTTGTAATAAGTGTTTGTTGTGACTAAAGTCTTTGTGTATGGCAAAGTGTGTTGTCTCTGTGTCGTCTCTGTGTCGTCTCTTCTCCAGCATTCTCCCACAATTTGCAGCAATTCATTCTCTGCTCATCAACTGCCCGTACCACCAGCAATGACTGTAGGTATGGATACCAGAAATGCAGCTGGCCAGATCTCTGCTTCATTCTGGCCTTAGTTTTTTCAACGTGTTTCTTGTGACTAAGGTCTTGGACCTGATGGAATGCACTCCGGAACACATGAAGACCTACTCCAAGGTGAGATATGATGGGGAGATCAGACAGAACAATGACAGAAACAATGCATGTGCGCAGGGACACGGAGTGCAAACGGCCACTCAGTGACATTTCACAACAATTCAACATGTGCTTTGGATGGTTGGAATTGGAAAATGTTTACCCCTTTGGCTTTCAGACTTGGAGTTCAAACCTCCTGTGCTCCATGCCCATGCATCTTGATGAACTTGATTGAATTTGACAGGTCTTCCTGAATGGCATCTGGAACCTCGTTGGCAAGAGGCTGTTTGTCCAAGGATGCCAGCTTCAGCTACGCAACAACTAGGCCCACGAGAAGTAAAAGAAATGAGGTGGAAGCTGTAGATAAGTTGTAGGCACGTTCCAGAGTCAGAGTACGATTCGAATACTTCTGAAATCTTACAAAGGTCAATTCATTTTGCATGACAAGATTTGGTTGGGAGGAGAATTTGCAAACCTTTTTCAAAGAAGTGAGATGCTTCGGCAAAATTGTCCTAGTGTAGGCCAGTACTACGTTGAATCTTTTGGTTGTTCAAGGTAGGTCAGGTGAAGTGTTGGGCAGCGCTGGCAACTAGATAGTTGTCCTTGTCCAGAACCTGTGAGAATCAATGCCGCTCATACACTCAAGGCAACTCAAGGCATTCAAGGCACTGAAGAGAGCTCTTTTGGCTACTGATGGCTACTGTATACACAGCTGATCACAGCTGTATTACCATCCGAGGATGGGAATGCACAGGAACCCTGCTGAGCTGAGGACACAGACTGCACGTCACAGGTGTTTCCACACACTGAACATTTTTTTTGATGCTGCGGGCTGCGGCAGTTGTGTGTTACAGTATATGGTTTGCACTCTTTAAATGGAAGTGTTTGGTTTTGATGAGTAAAAGACACGTTTCGTTGTGTTGCCTGAGTGGCAAGAACTGATGCGCAGGAATACTTTGCAGAGCCTCCGGCGCCGAAAGGATATCGATTCTGAGGCAAAGGAGAGTTGAAAGACTTGAAGCGAAGAGTTTCACATTTCTCAGATGCTAAGAAAGGCCAAAGACGGCAAACATAGTTGGAAAAAGTCTGAGAGCATTAAAAGAAAGACAGAAGATGGAGGCGATAAGGACAACAACAATTAATTCGGCAAGAGATATTAGCAGGATGTTTTGGCGAATAAAAGTAAATATATCAAGTATCATGATGTATAATGATGTACATAATGTATATATGTCTAGAAGTAGTGCTTTGAGGCCCCTCAATCTGAGGACCGAGAAGTCTTAAAATATTGAAAGAATGGTGTGGATTCCAATTCCAATATGCTGCTTGTGAGGCAAGAATGCAAGAAGATCAGATATTTGGAAGGGACTTGTTATGATCTTTGGTAATCCAGAAGCCCATTAGTCGGTCCTGGCTCGACTGCAACCGATCAGGTCTCCATTCAGCAGGACTTGAAGAACAACGAGATTCGCATTTCTTCTGACTGCGGTAGGCTAGTCTGATCCTGTGTAATGTATACGATCGTATAGGATCGTAGAAGTATTATATAGAACATCAATGAACATTATAGAACCAGATAGACTGTACTTATGCAGTATGCAGCAAGCGTCACCCCACGGCTTCCAGCATTTGGAACTTTCTTCGCATGGCCAAGATGTCTTCTAGATTCTCTATATAGATAGCAACCTGCGCTCAGATGTTCGCGTCCATTGTACATCGTAGACTACGAGAAGCAGAAGGTGCTCATCAATGGTCACCACGACCCTTGCCCAGCATGAAGAAATTGCTTCAAAACAGCACCAGACCATATGAAGATATTTGAAGCTCGCATCGGCAAGTGACTTTTGAACCAAGGTGGAGAAGGTCAAGAATGGCGATTGGGAGTGGGGAACCCTCATGCGTTCTGGTCTCAGCTCGCGCTACTGCTGTTCGCTGGGGTAGGCCACAGCAGTAGCATGCTCTAGCTGAAGGGGGTTGTAGTGCATGAAGTCCAACAAGGTATGTAATTACTCAATCAGCTTCCTTTCGCACTTGGAAGTCAAGAAATGCTCTGCAGGTCTGTTTGCGGATTTTATTCTTGATTCTTGACTCTAATTACATCGATTCTACATGGATTCTACAGATTCTACAGGGCAAACAAGAAAGTCACGACTGCGTCATGTGTGGGTGTTCCTTAATCATACCACTGTTTTCAAAGGTCATACCCAAGTCATGCCTGCGAGGCTTCCCATGGCCACGCAATTCGTATATACACACAGAGATTCACGCTGACGTGTATGTACATTGGTTGGCCGTGCCCAAGTGATTTTGTGAGTCCAGTTTTCGACTGTATCGATGAGTCCAACTTGACGTGTGGTCCTGCGACACTGGCTCTTTGCTCTCATCCTCAGTCTTTGCTGCTTGAATAAATTTGAATCAGCTTGAATTTCTGAAACCGTCCAGGTGAAGGACTGATCGAGTACCTCGACGCAGAGGAGGAAGAGTGCTCGATGATTGCAATGTTCATCCATGATTTGGTCAGCGGCTCATTGAGCTGTGGTTCTCCGCTGCAAATCTAAAAACTAACGTGACGTGTCACATGACTTCTCGACACCAGTTGCTGCGGGGTGTGTAAGTATCCCTCCTACCTTAATGAAATTATTTCAGGGGGGGGGTTACCCTCCAAAATAATTTTTTGAAAATAATTTCAAAAATCTAACATGTTGGATGTATAGATTTATAGACTCTAACCATTGCCAAAATAATTTCTGGTTGGAAATTATTTTGATGGGTTACCCCCCCCTCAAAATAATTTTGACGAAAATACTCTCACAGCAAAAAAAATATTTCAAAATAATTTTGGTGTTTGACCTTGTTTTGATCCGATGACATATTCCACCTTTGGTCGTACACTCAAGTTTCTGCAGGCTGTGTTCACACAGCACTTCTTCGCAGTGATGGCAGTGTTGTAACTTTCGGAGGAAACGATGTAGAACAATGCGATATCCCATCTTGCGCAATGTTGGGCTTGCAAAAGTGGCTTATTATGTTTTAGGTTTTTTGTTTTTTAGGATTGATGCGTTGCGAATCCTACAACGCAAATAAATTCAACATCATGTTTCATGTGTGCTCCCTGGTAGTCATGTCAGAATCCCCCCAAAAATTAAGTTGCAGCGAGAACGCATCAAAACTTGCAACTCGAAACCAAACTCGTTCTTTAAGAAATTATTCAAAGGATCTTGGAGATGCCCTGCATTCCTCAAAAATCAATGTGGGAAGCTGCCAGAACCATCCAACTCGCCCATATACTGGAAACAAATGAAAAACCTATCAAAACCGAACGCTTCCCAAAAAAGAGTTCGTTGGAGGGAAATAAAGGGAATATTGGAGAAAAATGGGAAATATGACAGGTTAGGAAAATCACTACAGGAAAGGGCCAGGTTGAATACTATTTTGTGGTATTTCCCACGGGGAAAAATTATTTTAGGGGTATTGGAGATACCCTGCACTCCTCAAAAACCAAAGTGAGCAGCTGCCAGAACCATCCAACTCGCCCAGAAACTGGAAAAAAACTGAAAAACCTATCAAAACCGAACGCTTCCCAAAAAAAGTTCTTTGGAGGGAAATGAAGGAAATATGGGAGAAAGAGGGAAAAACATGAAAGGCTAGAAAAACCACTATAGCAAAGAGTTAAGTTGAATACCATTTTGTGCGATTTCCCAAGCGGAGAAATTATTCTAGGGGTATTGGAGATGCCTTGCACCCAAAATTCAAAGTGAGCAGCTGCCAGAACCATCGAACTCGCCCATAAACTGGAAACAATTGAACAATCTATAAAATCCGAACGCTTCCCAAAAAAGAGTTCTTTGGAGGGAAATGAAGGGAATATGGGAGAAATAAGAGGAAATATGACAGGTTAGGAAAATCACTACAGGAAAGGAATACTATTTTGTGGGATTTCCCAAGCGGAGAAATTATTTTAGGGGTATTGGAGATACCCTGCACTCCTCAAAAATCAAAGTGAGCAGCTGCCAGAACCATCAAACCCGTCCATATACTGGAAACAAATGAAAAACCTATCAAAACCGAACGCTTCCCAAAAAAGAGTTCTTTGGAGGGAAATGAAGGGAATATGGGAGAAATAATGGGAAATATGACAGGTTAGGAAAATCACTACAGGAAAGGGCCAGGTTGAATACTATTCTGTGGGATTTCCCAAGAGAAGAAATTATTCTAGGGGTATTGGAGATACCCTGCACTCCTCAAAAATCAAAGTGAGCAGCTGCCAGAACCATCCAACTCGCCCAGAAACTGGAAAAAACATGAAAAACCTATCAAAACCGAACGCTTCCCAAAAATGAGTTCTTTGGAGGGAAATGAAGGGAATATGGGAGAAATAATGGGAAATATGACAGGTTAGGAAAATCACTACAGTGTCACTACAGGAAAGGGCCAGGTTGAATACCATTCCGTGGGATTTCCCAAGGGAAGAAATTATTCTAGGGGTATTGGAGATACTCTGCACTCCTCAAAAATCAAAGTGAGCAGCTGCCAGCTGAAAAAAATAAAATAAACACCGAATGCTTTCCCTTTCACAGTCATTCCCACCGAGTGTTCTTTGGAAGGAAATGAAGGGAATGTGAGAGAAATGTGGGGAAGTATGAAAAAAAATGGAAATATGTAGGAAAGAACCCAGTGATGAAGATGATGGTTGAACATTTTTTTTGCGGGAATCCCCAAGTGTTTTTTTTTAAATCTTTTTTTGTTCAACCATTTAAAATTTAGATGAAGTTATGTCAAAACATAGTTATTCCAGGGTATATTTGAAGGCTTAGATTATAATTCGCATATTCCAATATGCACATCCGTAGGCCCACTGCTTAGAAAAATTATTCAACAACATGTTTTCTTTAAACATATTCCAAAACCTGGTTGATACCCCCGCGTTTTTCTTGAAGGGATGGAATATCCCCGGTACACCTGCGAAGGCGATCATGTCGGGTAGGGGGGGGGGTCCCAAAGTATACATATGTAAAGATGGGAGTCTCCGGAGGGGGGCAAAATAATTACCTCCCCAGGGGTTGAAATAATTTTTACGAAGGTTCACCACCGTCGATGAAGGGGAGGGGGGGGGTCTATCGTAAGAAATTATTTTACCCTAAAGAGGGTTGTTTCGTATAACAACCGAAGACACTATCAACCCCCTGAAAATAATTTTGGAAATTATTTTGAGGAGGGGGGGAGGGGGGGGTAGTTTAGGTAGGGTAGATGTGTAAGTATTAGCTGGTCGCAGCTCTTTTTGCATTCAAGACTTCCCTTTGTTCTTGAGAGTCCCGACTTCTTCTGTGTGTTTAAACCTAGTCCGCAGCAAGTCCGCGCAGTCCGCAATGCTAGTCTGGCATACCATGTCAGTCCCAATTCCGTTCAATTCCTTGTCCAGCTCTCAACCATTCCAGATGTGTTTACTTCCGAGTTTCTTGGCAGAGTACCGCAGTACGTAGAATTCCTGCACTGGTTCTTTTTGCCTTTCCCATTGCTTACTTCCGTAGTCTGTGGGACTCCCGAAAATCGAAGCAAGCGCAATCTAATCTTTCAACCTCTCAAACGAATCAAATGGTACCAAATGGTAAAGGGAAAGCGTATGAAAGCGTCATGAAGCCATTTATGAAGCCACAAAGCACGGCTCAAATGCTTTCCCTCAAAGCAGCTGCACAGCACCGAGGTGAAGACTCGTGCCTACTGCAAGCAAAGCGGTCTTGTTTATATCGTTTTAGCCTTTTAGAATGCTTTAATTGGAAATTAGAGTCTGTAGAGTTTTGGAAGATGAACGAGGACGAGCGAGGCTATACAATCATAAACGAAGATGAAAAGAATCATCGATGATCATTGCTTGTACATCCTCACTTTCAAGTGTTCTGCGGTGCAGCAGACAGCTCAATGCCAGGACGTACACTCATGCAGAGATTCATCCAGCAATGATCTTCGGTGTTTGCGCTTGGAAGCTCAGAGTTCTGGGAATTCTGAGAGGCGGTGAAGGAATCTGAAAGAGGGACATAGAGGGACCCCAGATGACCCCAGGGATCAGGATTCAATCAGGATCGTACCAGGATATGAGGCGTGACAGGTGACAGGCAGACTGTCAGCCGAGCTTGTTTGCACTTCAGAATCAGCTTTCAATTTTGGAAAAGCATACATACTCTGACTCTGGTTTCTTGTGGAATCGAGCATTACCCATTTGTTCGATATTGTCCAGACTCCAGACTCTATGTTTGTTGAATGAAGCAATACTAGCGCAGTGGACAAGCTTTTAGTCAAACAGGTGTGCATTCCGCTTGGACGACAAGACTCTGAGACACATCGAGACACCATGCGGTGTGATTTGTCCAGGTGAACACTGTCAGAGAGAAACCATGAGAAGCCTGTCCCAGGCATCGATCATTCCCTTCCCAGACCACAACATGAGCCCCAGGCGCTGATTGCTGGACATGACAAGACCATGGGCTTACCAACGTTAAAATTGCTTTGGTAACACTGGCTGGATACGATTGGCCATTCAGCCTTTTCTAGCATGATAATGAGTTACAATGCACTATAATGCATTATAATTCATTATAACATATATATATATACACAATTATATACATACACACAATCACACATATTGTATATATATATATGTTACGAAAGCAAGCCGACAGGCATGGCTTAGTTGGCTTTCGCTCCCTCCTTCTCAGGTAATGTTTTTTCTTATCGCACAAGTAATACTAATTTAGAATATGATAATATCTATATAATATATATACACACACCATATATATAAATATATAAATATCCGTCACTCAGATTTCCGTCACGCCATACATATTGTATAAAGTATACCTTTTTATATTGTATATAATTTGTATTGTATGTATTTTACATATGTTTTATTAACTATATGTTTTTGGTTTTATATTGTATATATATATATATATAGTATATATATATGTATATATATATATATATATTATATAGGTTCGTATATATTTGTTTTTTATTACATATATATATGTATATATTAAGTTATTATGTGTATCTTGTATATATATATATATTATGGTTTATTTATCAATTATATATATAAATATGTACTATACCTATTGTTTAATCATATATTATATTTTATTATATGTATATATATATATTAAATATATTATATATATATTATATTTTGGTATTATTATACAATTTGCATCTTATTTCTAATATGTTTACTCTATATATTATGTATTTTTTTAATGTAATGTTTATCTATATTATTTATATAGCACAGTAGTTTGTGATTTGCACTGTTTAGTGACCTCCCGGCTGAGTTCGTGGTTTTGACAGCACTTTTTCCCTTGGCGTTGTTCCATCCACTCTTTAGTTCATAGTGTGATACCTTCGCTTTCCGGGAATTGCAGCTAGTTGCACCCAATTCATGCCCTTCAAACTATAAAAGCAGTGGCGGCGAGAGCCATACGTTTTGGTAAAGTCACCTAAAAACAACCTTTGCTGATGATATTTGACTGGCTGATGCTAGTGATGAGACATTGCTGGTGCTGAAGGAATGTCTTCCAGTCTGCGATGGGGAAGCAAGCCATTGGAGTCTTTGGAACCAATTTCTACTCGCGGATGGACACGCGAGGTCCTTAGAAGAGTGGAGCATGAAGGTGTTTCACATCGCTGATCCTTCAAGATTCGTTCACCAAAAACGAAAGAACGCCTAAAGATCCTCAAGCAATCACAAACATATTTACTCTGTGCGTGTCTTACTAATCTTACAGCCCTACATGTTCCTACCTACATGTATGACTGTATGACCATATTCATGTGGAGTTTTGTTTGCTCATTGGGGGAAACTGCGGAGATGCATCCATTCTTTGCAAATTGATTTTGTATGATTTTGTTGTTCTGTTCCGCAATAATCATCCACAAAGAGTTCTTGAAAAGAAGCAGTTGAGCGAGTGAGCACGTTATACTAGGCACACAGGCAGGCAATATAATTGAGCACGACAGCGTAATCTATGAAGCAGATACAGCAACTGAAGATGTGTGGAAAACACACCAACATGACATCAAGGTTTTAACCAGACACACCGGCACGCGTCAACAGTTGTCAAGTCGGATGTGGAGTGAAGCGACGTTCTTTCTCACTGTATGCATCATGAACTTGCCCGATGTGATACAGAATACTGAACACGATAAGTACTCGGCCAAATCGCACGGATATTGAATGTGAGAATAAGACATAATAAGACACATACCAATAGTAACGCACAAGGCAGTGGCGGAAGTTTCAGACAAAGAAACCTATAGGAGAGAGCTTGGTCGTTGTGAATCACGGATTGCAGAGCGAATCCACTGATGGACTGAAAGGTGGTTGGAGTTGTGTTTTTTTGAGTGGTTACAACGATTACAGTGGTCACCTTGTCGGTCACCTCACCCACAACTGCTGGATGTAGCGTGGTGTAGTGCAGCTGAAGTTGTAGTTGTAAGTGTAGTGAAGTTGTAGTTGTGGTGTAGTGTAATTAGATCGTGTAGTTGCAGTTGAATTTGTAGTAGTGGTGTAATGAGTGTAGTGTAATGAAATGTAGGGTAGTGTAGTCTAGTGTAGTGTAGTGTAGTGTAGTGTAAAGTAGCGTAGTTGTAGCTGTAGTCGTAGTTAGTGCAGTGTAGTATAGTGTAGCCTAGTGTAGTGTGGTGTGGTGTAGCGTGGTGTAGTGTAGTGTAGTGTAATGTAGTGTAATGTAGTGTAGTCGTTGTTGTTGTTGTAGTTGTAGTGTAGTCTAATTAAGTGTAGTGTAGCGAAGTATAGTGTAGTGTAGTTGTAGTTGTATTGTAGTGTCGTGTAGTGTAGTGTAGCGTAGTGTGGTGTGGTGTGGTGTAGCGTAGTGTAGCGTAGTGTAGTATAGTGTAGTGTAGTGTAGTGTAGTGTTACTGCAGCGTAATGTAGTGTAATGTAGTGTAGTGTACTGTAGTGTAGTTGTAGTTGAACGGAGTGGAGTGGAGTGGCGTGGAGTGGAGTGGAGTGGAGTGGAGCGGAGCGGAGTGGAGTGGAGTGGAGTGGAGCGGAGCGGGGCGGAGTGGAGTGGAGTGGTGTGGTGTGGTTGTAGTTGAAACTGCTACAAAACCTTCACGTTTTGCTCACATTTGACAAGGTGCACAATCCCTTGCGCCTGCCACACGAAACGACATCTGAACGTCCAAAAGTGCTCCGTACCCGTCAGTTTTTGGCCCTTTTGACTTGGAAATGTGCTTCGCGGCACAACGGAGTGCACGATTTCCACATCTCAACTTCAAAAAGTGCTCCGAAGCTGGTGTTTCTTTTACTTTTGACTTCCAAATGTGCTTCGCGCCACAACGGCGTGCACTTTTTCGACATTTCAACTTCCAAAAGTGGTCCGAACCTGGTGTGCTTTGTACATTTTGACTTGGAAATATGCTTCGCGCCACAACGGCGTGCATTTTTCCATCTCTCATCTGGCCAGATGGCTCCGCACCCGCCGCTTTAGCGAGCCTACTTTTCGACCCTCCGGGGCCACAAATCATTGATGAAACAGGGTGAGCCGCGACTTTTCTACCTTTTCACGCGCCTGCATCTTCTTTCTTCTGACTCTTTCTCTTCTCGGATCTTCTCTTTCTTCTCTTCTCTTCTCTAACTCTTCCAACCTCTGCGTTTCCATCTCTCCATACTGTCGGAAGTTTGACTTCTAAACTTCCTTCGATCATATCCATCACTATGAATTTTTGCAGCCATTGATGGCTTATTTCCCTCGTATTCATACGTGTGGCTGCGTCCCATTCCTTGGATGACCTAGAGAAACTTTGAAAAGCGCATCAAGCCACTGCAAGCACATCAAATTTCGATCAATTTCGCACATTTTGAGTTTGTCATGCACGTTTTCAGACAGCCAGCCGCGCACGCATTCGAACAAAGCATATTTTGATATATTTTTTGCAGGCAACAATGTACTCTCAGACAACTAGCAATATACATCAAACCCCTTTGCCTGTTGGATGATGTTGGATGGTATTTGAACAAGGGTTCAATGTGTCCACTGTGCAGTACATATTTCATCATATGACATTCCGAAATATTCTGGACGACCTTAGAGTCTTACAGGATCAGACGCATCAGATTCCAAGGTTCGCGTGTGTCATGTGCTACCCAATGAAACCATTTGCAGGGGCCTCAAGGGGCTCACAACAAAGGGCGCCGGAGCTGCATGGTGACATGACGTGACGTGACGTGACGCAACATGACTTGACTCGACATGGCCAACAGGGCATCAACACGGTTTCCAGATGTTTTCGCAGAACGCTGTGCAAGTCTTGTTGTCATGCCAAAATTTGGTTGCCCTATGTTGCTACATTGCCAGTAGCACATTTTGGCTTTGATTCTGCTGCTGGGTGTTTCTAATGGATTCGGACGGTGGGTATCGAGTGATCGGGTTGAGCCGCTGGAATTTGTGAGGTTGGCACACGCTCGATGAACTACTTGCGTTTCCGAGAAATGCCTGCTGGAGTGACTAAGACAGAATGGAATGTTTCACGCCATGAACATTGTGAACTCATGACTCATGGAGAAAGATGAGAAAGGCTTATATAGCATATATATATATATATATAATATATTAGTATTATATAAGTTAGTATGGATGAGTTTTCTTTAGTTGTCATTTTTTTCCATGTTTATCAAGGCACCTTTGGCTAGAAGCTAGGCCTGGGATCGTCTAGAACGTCATAATCTTATACTGTACATGTTAGACGTATGCTTGTAGATACTTTCAGTATTTTCCTGTAGTATTGTTTGGAACCTTTTGGAAGCTTCTCAAAACAGTGCTTGCAATGGTTGTGCGGACTGTCTCAGACAGTTCCAGAAAAGTGACTTAACCGCTGGGGCTGCGGCGAGAGCCCATCTCGGATTTTCTCAGACTCCAAAGAGATGCTCAATTCAGAAAGCCGTGCAATATCAATTATTATCAAGTTGTATAATTAAGATTAATTAAGATTAATTGAGTAACGAGTATAATTAATTCATTTGACCTCACCCATCAAGAAAGGTTGGGAAGAACCTAGTCCTAACCTTCCGAACGCTCAACCACGCACTGCACACCCTCAAGGCTCCCGACCCCACAAGTTCCAGACAAGCCGCAAAATGCCGCAAATGAGGGCCAAGCCGGCCAAGCTTCATCCTGAATTCTCCAAACCGAACAAATCTCCTTCAAACTTCCTGAATCTTCCTGGACAACATGATGTTCCGGAAGGCTTTCAAAATTGCCGCCGGTTTCGAACTCTCCCCGCATCAAAGCAATTGGAGAAACCGCAAGGTTCCGTCTCCCAACGCTGCAGCGGGGATGTTGATAAAAAGATGCCAACCATGTCCAATCATGCCATATTTGTTCAAAGATGCCTCAATACGCAAGTTTTGCCCGTGTGAAACAAAGGTGAACACAATCGTGTTCATCATGTGCTACACAGGCTCTGAGTGAGGTTGATGTGAACGAGAGGGGGAGGTAGATAGATGGATTAGATTGGATTAGATCAGAGTAGATTATATACGATTATATGATATTATATTAGACGGATGGATAGGTAGATAGATAGACTTTGATATTTGAAAGTGGGATTTGTTCCGACCCAAATGAAGCTTCATAGCAAATCTTGGCTTGTTTTCTATTGTATTCGGAAACAGTCCAAGCATGGATCGACTCACTCATAGGAGAGAAAAAATTGTGGACTACTGGGATGTTTGTTTGTTCCAAGGAAAGAGTGCCAGGGTAAGTTTTCTCTTTCTGGGTGCTTGCTAGACAGGATTGAATAAAATCCAAGAGATGAAAATAATCATTCGCAACCAATTTAGGAAATTGTTCGTCAAAAGATGCGATGGGCATGGATAAACACTCTCAATACTAGCGACTTGGCCATCATGCAATCAGCATGGTTTGACTTGATCGTGAACGAAACACCTACATTCTGGGCATTTAACATATAATGACTGCCTGTCAGGCTACAATCAGGAAGATTCCCTGATGTTGAGCAGGCATCTTAGGCTGTCAGTTGCGTGTGCAAACACACGCGGGAGCAATGAAAACGTGTTGTGTAATACGTTGTGGTCCCATCAGGAAGAGTAATATAGAGCAATGAGCACTCAAGCAATAGCAACACGTAAGTGACATAATAATATACATATGTATATATATATACACATATGTATATATGTATATATGTATATATATATTTATGCGGATGTGTATATATATATATAATCGCCTCTTCATCCCAGTGAAAGAAGTGATCCTACGCACCAAGGTCAATCTTCTGTGGATCGTGGCTTTATGAGGGCCGTCTCATATAGATGCTACGCCGCAGAGGACTAGTTTTACTTTAAGCACTTTGAGCATTCCGTGTCATTGTGACAGTTGAAGAAATGACTCCGGAAGAGTGTATAATTTTGTGTTAGAGCTTGATAGATCCAGTGCACCATCATGAAATACCATGTGTCAGCATCAGTTTTCGGAAAGATAGCTCTTGTCAAGGTTTCTAGAGTGGAGGGGATGGTAACCTTGCGAGTAATCTTTTGCACACCTACAATGGCTCGCATTTGGGATCGACATACTGTAAGTGCATGAGTGTTTGTGTCTGAGAGCTTGACTTCCCCCTTTTTAAATGCTGTGCCTGTTCAGCGGGTTGAATATCTTGCACATATCTTGATCGTTGAACTTCATGCTTTGCACAACCCTACTTTCAAAGTGACAGCAGCTTGACTCAGCTTGACTCATTCAATCCAGAGAGTGCCTGCACGCGTTTCTCTCATGTTTTATCTTCTGTGCACAGCGACATCATTCCAAGATCCCTGTTGCTGTTTCCACCACAGAGACTGGATCTTTTCACTGCAATGCGTTTTGCCAGATTCGTTTGAGAATGTTTTGAGATAATTGTGGTGTCCAGGTTTGATGTTAGGCAATTGTAGTGATCCTATGTGATCCTGCGATCTGGTACGTAGCGATGTAGGTCTGGTTGAAGGTCAGGAAGGGATTTGTGGTGGGTTTACGCTGATGTGATGGAAGGTCAAGCGAAAGCTCGCAGCTCACCGGAGTGCACTTTGTAGATCTTTATAGCAAATCCATCCTGCCTCAGTAAAATGTCCTTTATAGAATGGGTCATAAATGACAATGTCATGGGTTTTCAAGTCTGAAACATAGGGTTGAAACGGGTTAAACCTGACATTTTGATACATATTGTAGAGCTGAGAGAGTTGAATCTATGGTTGTGTAAGATGAGGAGCCATACTCTAAAGTCGAGCGACATGAGCAGAGATTTGCCAGTTTGGAAGAAAGTGAAATAAGAGAGTTAAAAAAACATACATGCCATTTGATATTCGAAATGGGCTTGCAAAGCCCTTCCAATGCATGACTCTTTTTGTGTCTTGAGAGAATGATGCTTTTTAGATTGCCATTTCCCCTATATTAGAGTTTCTATTACCACAAAGGTTTCAAACAAGAATCGCATCGCACAAGATCTGGAACACTGCGACTACATGGGTTTGTGCTTTGGGCAGTTTGTGACCATGCGGGGTGCTTGTGCATTCCTGTGTGGTGTGTTTGTGATCGTTTGTGATTTTGGTTGATGTGTTCTTTGTTTGCACAGGGTCCCTATGTCTTGCAGTTAATGAATCTTCTTGTGTGCATAGATCCAGCTCTTGAAAAGAAAAAAGAGAATACAGCAAAGAAGGCGCTACAGAGGAAGCGGAAAGGATTCCAAACACGCACAGGAATGGCGATGGCTGCGCTTTGACCATCATCCAACCGTTCCAACCAGCAACCTTCCATTTTATGAAACAGGGGAAGTGAAATTTCTTTAGAATTGGCGTGATTTATGGCAGCTTCGAAGCAGGACATCAAGATCAAACATTCGACCGCAAAGTGGAAGAGCCCAACCAGAATGCTGCAAAATAGTACAAAATAAGCGTCGAGTGATTCAAAATGCAGGGCTCTTCTTTTGTTACTGCAACCACTCGCATCTGCCCAGAAACAATCAAAGGCTAAAGAAAACATGTTGTGCAACAGTGTAGTTCATGTTGTTCTGGCTGTCTTACTCTCATCAAAAGCACCAAGATCAGAAAACCAACCAACACCAATCACCCTCAACCATCAAAACACTGAGAATAAATCAGCACGAGCGGCAGCTACACTTACAGAACCAGGGTTTTGTAGCAGAGTTGCCTTCAGACTCCTGAATCAGACTAAAGAACGGAACATAACGGAACGGCATTTGGTAGCAAGCATGCGTCTGCCAGAAAGATAACTTGCGCCATGGAATTCGGTGATTGGACTTGCATTTGGTACTCGTACCTATATAGATGAAAAAACATTTCATGGCAAGCCAGCGCTCGCCGCCGAAGCTGTCTTCAAGAACCCCCCGAAGCATTTACGACAATAGGGGGAATTCAAAGTACCTTCAAGCGAAACACGGCGTAACTGCTCCCCCGTCATTCCTTGTTAATAAGTCGTTGTGTCAAAGTTCTGAACGAACCGTGTAGGAGAAGTTTGATGGAAGGAAGCCGATAGATCAGTTGCTTGGTGAGAGCAGATTTTGTTGTGGTTTCTCAGTTTGTATGTAAGATGCAGTTAAAATCCCGACAGCTCCTGTGCTTGGCATTTTCCTCCTTTTCTATCCTTTTCTTAGGTTCTGCAATCCTTCGCACTTCAGAACCGCCGGCCTGAAGATTTCTCTGAGCCCAAGAGCTCAGAAAAGGGGCAGGTACTGGGGCTCTCATCAGGCGACTCCTTGGAGCCGACTAGCTAGTGACTAGCAGTCCTATGATTCGAAAATATCTTTGAATATCTTTGATATATTTTGATCTATTTTGATCGTCGCTGCGATGTGGGCTACTCTGGTCAGTGCAGTTTCATTTTCACCATTTCACGATCAATATCTCACTGTAGGGTATGCAGGCAGGACTGATGCAAAGAATGCAGCGCTGCTTCGATGTTTCTTGATGTTTCTTGCATGTTCGATGTGGCCCGTGTCATGACTTTAGTTAACGTGCTTCCCTGCTCACAATCAGGCGCCCATAGATGCCTGCAATAACTGAGTCAAATTGATAGCCGCACACTAGACCACTGCTGCCGATACGATGATGGGAACCGCAACAGGAGCACAAGTGCCGAGTATGTCCGTTTTCTGTGCTTGGTGTCCAATCTTCGGTGATTCACACTGCTCAAAAAGGCAAATCCTAGGTCAAAGAGGACTGGAAAGAGGGATTTCAAGCTTCACGTTGACCCTCACCCAAATAGATCCAAATAGTATGAAGCCGCAATGAAGCCGCTTAGAGCTGTGGTTGAAGCAAGCTTGAAAGTATAGCAGTCGAGCAGATAAAGAGTCAATAAGACTCAGCAAGTCAACGGTCCCTCTCTGCACATTCACACATCCACCACCAAAGTTATCCCTGTAAATAGTCTTCGATAGTCTTCGATAGTCTTCGCTCCCCCCAAACAAAGAAACAAGAAAAATAACAAAACCAGCCTTCACACGCAACGAGTGTACCTGATCAAAAATTAGGCCCAGCCAAGCCACCTCAACTCAGGGAGGCCCTACGAAGTCCAAAATCAGCCAACTTCCTGATGGACTATATATTATAAAAAATTATAAAACGGGTGATAACGGGTGATAACGGTGACAATAGAATAGGTGCTTGATGGTGCTGATTTTTGCTTGTGAATGTATGTCAAGAAAGTTTGTTAGCTTGCACACCCTTCAAGATCTTCGATGTGTTTTTCTCAACAAACGGGCGCATGCGCTGTTATAAAATTATGTCCTTCGCACGGGCTTCTGCATTTCTTGGATTGATTAAGCTGCTGCTCAGGGCCACTGACGGATTACCTTGTTTTGTAATGTTTTGTATGTATTGTTTTGATTGAGTTTTTTTGGGACTGTGGATGGTTTAGATGTTCAGAATACGACCAGGAACATGATATGTAAAATTATGTAAATACATGTGATGGATTTGTACAGCAACCAGCGACATTCTACGAGTGTCATGTCATGAGGCTGCTTGATTGTAGAAATTTGTAGAGTGCATGCTGAGGTTCCTACGAAAACTTGGATCATGATGGTCTCGCTGTGCCAGCAGGTGGACGCGTTCTAGGTGCGGATGGTGCGGGTGATAAGTGGTTACTGTGATAGCTTGATTTTGGCTGTGTAGGAATCTATTTTGTCGCTTTCCTCACCTCTCAAGATTTAGGTTTAGGTCAGCAGGCAGAGCAGGTACAACGCCATCGGTGCTTTACTTGACTTCAAAATACTTCAGACAACGAAGAACAACCTGTGAAACAGAAACAGTCTAGGCAATGTACTGAGCCAGCACCCTTTGCCCAATCAAAACAAGGCAATATTTTGACATATTTTGACGATCAGCATACAGACGACTACCGACTGCTTATTGCAATGGTCCAGATTCATGAATTTATATACAGCAATGTCTAAAATGAGTCTTGGATTCAACCGGAGTAGGGTCTCAGTATCACGGACAAGAGAGAGAGAGAGAGAGAGAGGGAGAGCATGCTGCAGATAGTGACTTTAGTCTCACGCTCTTGAATCCATTCTATACTTCCTGTTTTAATATGGTTTAATTAATCATGTTTATCCAAATTTGACTGTATATTCATATTCTAAAGTTTGAAATGCTAAAATAGAGAGTAAAATTGCATAAGAAATGCCATAAGATTGCAGTTAGAAGATGTTAGCAGTCAGGTGCTTTCCTTTTCGCAGCAGCAGTCATTGGCATGGCGATCCATTTGCTCCTAGCGCAGGTGATGACGTACTGATTGGGCGCACATCAATACTTCCCCCAGACATGCAGAGCTGCTTGGAAGAAATATGAAGAAATTAAAGTCCAGATTCAAGGCGATTCAAGGCGATCTGAAGGAAAACTGCTATGCTATTGCTTTTCTTCTCCTGTTTTGCTTGGATTGATATGGGTTGATGTGAAAGGATAGAAAAGATGATAAAAGCATAGCACAAAAATCAAGCAGTAGCATAGATTCGCTTTGGTCAGGGGATGATGGCGTGGGTCCACAACAGTATGAGCGGAAGGACACTCAGCCCTACAATTGAGTTGCTGCACCAACGGCTATTTTGCGACGGATTTGCCGCGCCTGTGGAACTGAATTTTGACTTTCTGAGAGGACAACTCCATTCTTTGCCGAACAGCTGAAACCGGTGTCGTGGACCAGGTGATGGTGAGTCTCAACAAAGATGGGCAGCACCCTTTGTGGCAGCACAAGGTAGTTGCGCGGTTGTGCGAGCAGGATTTTGCAATGATTGCAACTTTGGCTTCCACATTTTCTTGCTCAAATAGCTTTCAAGATCCTTCCAGAAAATTGTTCGTGCATGGTTTTGTGTACTCACTTCACCACTATGCAGCTATGCTGTCATAATTGTCATAGCTGTCATTTCCAAAAGGGATTCTAGATGATTCTAGCCAATTCTAGCTGCAAAATGCTGCAAATAGCAATTGCTCAGGTTCAAATTCACGACGGTCCGCCTTCGGACGCTGAAGATCCCCGAGGCAGAATTGAAACATATGGAAAAATATGCCGCAATTGCATACAATTCTGATCAAGTCTGTCACAATTTCAACATCCTTGACTTCGTCACAGAATTGAAGCCATTTGAAGCCCTAATTTGATCACATGGCAGATTTGTTTCTTAGCCTGAAGGTTGGGGACAAATTTGCTTCTAGGCACGGTCAGAAGGGGACGCAGGAGCCTTATCGAGTTTTGAGCATCAATTTGCAGGGTTCCAGAGGGTTCCAGAGGGTTCCAGAGGGCACAGCGGCATGATGCGGCATGTCAAGTGTACTTGCCTTGAGGCTGGGGATTTTGTACCGGCAAGAGGACTTGCCTTTCACACACTTCGGAGTGACGCCTGACATTGTGGAGCAGACATGTGTTTTTGTTTGGGCTTCGAAGTAGATCAGTGTTCACTTGTTTTCCTACGATTTCGTACCCACACTCCAGGTTTGTCTACGTAGGCTGTGCTTCCAATGTGTGCACAGATGTGCTCTTATACTTGCAGCGTTGCAAGACATCAGATCTCATGCTTGCCACACTAGTACACACATGTCCCAGTATGTCCCAGTAACACTCGTAGTATCAGACTCATTCATATATATATATACATATATATATATACATATATATATATATGTATACATATATATGTATGTATATGCGTGTGTATATATTTATTAATGTACATGTTATATAATTATATATATATACATAGAATGCACAATGTGAGGAAGTCTGACTTTGCCAATTTCAGATCGAGCCTTTGTTTATTTGTTGCATTTGTCAAGCGTCTTGACACGTTTTGAATCTTGATTGTATGTCCCGTGGCTGCGGCGTTGGCTTGCTGTCTATTTGCTGCATGGTGTGGCATTTGCTGCTTACTGTTCTTGAGAAATGGAGTAGATAGTAGTAGAAAAATACAGGTTTCTTTTGGTTTGACTGAACCATGTTGTTTGCTCTTTTTCTCATCATGACAGATCATGAACCCGCACGCAATTCCCTCTCGGATGACGATTGGGCACTTGGTCGAGCAGCTCACTGGGAAGGTTTGCTCCATTTCATTTCCAAACCGTGCAAACAGTTTCGATTGCTTTTTGGTGGGCGAAACTTCAAAACCAAGCTAGACATGTAAAACATTGTAAAACTATGATAAAATAATATGAATTTGGTGTACACGATGGTTGCGGAAGGCTTTGGTGATACAGACTCGGAGTAAAGTGTTTGGAAATCTTCAAATGCACGTAGACTTGACAGCTGAGAAGGTTGGTGCACTGGTTGGCTGTCAAGGAGATGTGGGCTCCTCAGGAAATAATCTAAACCTGATTTGAATTATCAGCACAGACTTCAGTGACTTCAATATTTTCACACGGTTGACGAATGCTACTGACTACATCTTCAAATGCACACTACTTGCGCTTTGTTTTGTACGTTGAGAAGGGGTTTGGTTCCTTGTGGTTCCCCTATGTTCCCGTTGCTTCATCTCAGCCCTCAGCTGTTGATTCTCTTCGAGCATGAAAATTCTCAGGCAACTCCATTCACGCGAGTCACTGTGAAGGACATCAGCAGCAGGCTAGGGAGAGAAGAGCCCATCAGGAGTGTCTTTTTCCATGCATCATCAGCATTATCACAATCATCACATGCAAAGTTTGAGGTCTTCCAACAAGTGCTTGTGATTCAGATGATTCTGGCAAGGCTACACGACATGGGCTTCCAGAGGTTCGGCAACGAAAAGGTGTGGAATGGACACACTGGGCGTCCTCTCACGAACAAGATCTTCGTTGGGCCAGTGTGACCTCGCTGGTGACAAGTTGGACATGGATCAGACAGACTGATCATATTGGATCATGTTGCATCGTGTTGGATCATGTTGGCAGTGCCAGCCATTCTTTTGCCCCCTTCATACCAAGCAAAGAACAAAAACCTGATCAAAGCCAGAGTTCTCAACGATCTACAGATTATTTGCACTAAAGTAAGGTCAGTGATCTGAAAAGCCACACCCTGTTGCACTGTCACCTTCTCGAGGTATTATCAGCGCCTGAAGCATATGGTCAGCGACAAAGTGCAGTCCAGATCCAGGGGCCCAGTCAAAGCCTTGGCTGCAGCGCCCTGCATAGTCCGGAATTCTGCATTATTTTTCTTTTCTTCCTAGTAATTAGATTCTGGTGCCATGTTTCGGAAAGTCAATGAACCTAAAATCCCAAGCCGAATTGCCAGATGCAGATACTCTCCGGTAAACAAACGTAGCTGCGGTTTTTCAAATTTTACAAAGCTAACCTAGCTACCAGAATAGGCTGCCAGACTAGCATGTTCCCCACAGACCCTTAGCTATTGGACAGCATCAACAATAAACAAGTCAGAAACAGTCTGAACAGGAGCCCACTAACATAAATAACATTTTACAGCACTCAAGGTTTCCAACATAGAAGGAAGCCCACTAACATAGCTATTATTTTACAGCACTCAAGGTTCCCAACATGGAATCACTTTACAGCACTCAAGGTCTTGAACAGAGAGGGAAGCCCACTAACATAGCAATCATTTTACAGCACTCAAGGTTTCCAACATGGAAGGAAGCCCACTAACATAGCAATCATTTTACAGCACTCAAGGTTTTCAACATAGAAGGAAGCCCACGAACATAGCTATCATTTTACAGCGCTCAAGGTTTCCAACATAGAAGGAAGCCCACTAACATAGCTCTCATTTTACAGCACTCAAGGTTTCCATCATAGAAGGAAGCCCACTCACATAGCAATCATTTTACAGCACTCAAGGTTTCCAACATAGAAGGAAGCCCACGAACATAGCTATCATTTTACAGCGCTCAAGGTTTCCAACACAGAAGGAAGCCCACTAACATAGCTATCATTTTACAGCGCCCAAGGTTTCCAACATAGAAGGAAGCCCACTAACATAGCTATCATTTTACAGCGCTCAAGGTTTCCAACATGGAAGGAAGCCCCCTAACATAGCTCTTATTTTCGCAGCACTCAAGGTTTCCAACATGGAAGGGCGCCCACTAACATAGCTCTTATTTTCGCAGCACTCAAGGTTTTCAACATAGAAGGAAGCCCACTAACATAGCTATCATTTTACAGCACCCAAGGTTCTCAACATAGAAGGAAGCCCACTAACATAGCTCTCATGTTACAGCACTCAAGGTTTCCAGCATAGAAGAAAGGCCACTAACATAGCAATCATTCTACGGCGCTCAAGGTTTCCAACATAGATGGAAGCCCACTAACATATCTATCATTTTACAGCGCCCAAGGTTTCCATCATAGAAGGAAGCCCACTAACATAGCTCTCATTTTACAGCGCTCAAGGTTTCCAACATAGAAGGAAGCCCACTAACATAGCTATCATTTTACATCACTCAAGGTTTTCAAGTTAGAAGGAAGCCCACTAACATGGCTATCATTTTGTTTTCCACCGCATGTATAACATATATTTATCAAAAAAGGTCGCTGCAAACATAGCTATCCATTTTTCCTCGGATTTTACCATTTTACAGCAAATATGTTTTATATAAGTTTTTTAAGGGAGCTTAGTTTACCAAAGTACAAACGCAGAATAATTCTACACTGACTACGGCAACTCAGAAGCTGGAAAGGAAAACTCACTGTATCCTGAGCTTCAAATCCTAAGGCGCTTCACACACCTTTTCTTGACCAAAAATGCCTAGATGTCGTCGGATCTGACGTGTCATGGGAATCTATGCACAGGCCCCCCCCAACTGCTCGCAGTTGCTACTGATGCCATGATTTCACCGCATCAAATCTTCCAAGTCCGCAAGACTTTTCATGCTTCAAGTCTGCAAGACCTGTTCAAAGAAGAATCCCAAAAAGAAAGGCCATGACGGCTTTGCGTGGCCCAAGGCATATGATCTATTGTTTCTTCTGTTTGTGATACCTGTATATTTTTGAAAGGGTCTGTTTGGAAAGGCCTGAGCCTGCATGATCATGTTGGAACTTCCAAAACCTCACTATCTAAGCTACCTGCAACCGCTGCCGAAGTTCGCTCACCACCGCGACTCAGCCTGGATGATGTCGACGCAGCCTGCCCTGGACTGCTGGAAGCCGCTGCAGAAGTTTTCTCACCACTGCGACTCGGCATTGATGAGGTCGACGCTGAAGTTCGCTCACCACCGCGACTTGGCATAGATGATGTCGACGCAGCCTGCCCTGGACTGCTGGAAGCCGCTGCAGAAGTTGTCTCACCACCGCGACTCGGCATTGATGAGGTCGACGCTGAAGTTCGCTCACCACCGCGACTTGGCATAGATGAGGTCGACGCCGCAGTTCGCTCACCACCGCGACTTCGCATTGATGAGGTCGATGCAGCCTGCCCAGGACTGCTTAAGGTCGCAGCAGGAGCATCGTCTTGCGATCCCGTGGTGATCTGGATACTCAGAGACGAAGAGCTCTTTGATGGTGTTGATTGCTCCACATGCTCCAGCTTCACTGATTCACTGCCTCTTGCAGACTCCTCCGAAGATCTTTGATGACTATCTTCGTCTTGGTGGCGCGATGTCCATGGCAATCTCTTCAGGCAAAACTTCGCACAGGTTTTGAAGCCACCGCACGTCATCTGTCCAGCAGAGATTGCCCCTAAGGCCATCAATGTGGCACCACACGCCCAAATGGCGCTAAACTCAGCTTCACCTCCAATCTCTTCAGAGTCCACTCCGGACAGCAGCATACTTCCCACCGCCAGCACAACACCGCAGCCACATGAGGTGCTGTTCCATATCCACCTCCATCTCCTTCTTCACCTTGTTGAGGTCTCATGCCAAGATCTCGAAGGAAGGACATGAATGACTGTCCAAGAAGCGGCTTGGTCAACCCGTCCGCTACAAGGTCAATTCCTTGCAGATGGATCAATCGAAAGCCCCCACCAGGCGCTATACCCTCCAAGGCCTCCTTCACATACGACGCCCTGATGCGCAGATGTCTCGTCCTCCACGACGTTCCACCTGTACCTGATGCCATTCCATTGGCTGCTACATTGTCGCCATAGATGACCCTCTCAATGTTGGAAGTTCCAGGTGTCTCGCCCAGCATTGCGCATAGCATGGTTTCCGTTGACCTCCCAACATTCAGGGTATCGCAATAGGCCACCAGTTCGCTCTCCGCCGTTGAGTGTGTGACGAAGGGCTGGATCGATGTGTTCCAGCTGATGATGCATCCACCCAGAAACGTTGCAATGCCCTGAGTGCTTCGGTGCCGCCTCCCTGTGCCAAACGCGATATCAGCCATGACTTCTAGTAGGCGTGGATTTCGTGCAATCTTCAGCTGGCTTCTTCCACCCCAAACGTTGCCAGGGACACCCTCCGTGCAGAAACCACCTGGATTCCCTTTGACATAATCTATGAGTGCCAATCCAATTTCAGCAGCGCGAACTGGATTTCTGGTTGCAAGACGGCAGACTGTGGCAACTCCAACGGATACATCTGGCCTTGTCCTTGTTGACAGCCAAAGTAGAGCACCAGCAATCGCTTGGGCCTGCTTGATCTGTTGAGGCTCAACCGGGTCAGATGGCACACCGTCATCCTCATTGATGCGGTAGTTGGGAACCTCCGTGGCTTTGGTGATGTTCCATCTCTGAAGCATCTCCAATTCATACATGTTCTGTGAGATTTTGAAGCCATCCTCTGTCATTGCCTCGATCTCAAAGCCACTGTATTTCACCATTGTGCCCTCCCCCGTTTTCTCCACTGCAGAGATCGCCCATGTTTTTTCGATTGCTGTCGTTGCTGCATGAATCGCTCCATCCTCAGCCACAAAGAGCAAGTCGTCGACATAGATCGACACAAGCCCAGACCACATCGTGTCACCACTTTCGCAGTCTACCTCCTCCATTCTCCACATGTTCTCATCTGGAGTTTTCTTGAAGGCGCCTTTCACCTGACGTCCAAAGCGCTCCCATTCCCATGTGATCTTGGGAACCGTCTCATCTCGATGAAGCCCCCAGTCACGCGGTGAACTTGTAAGTCCATACAGCGCTTCGTCAATCAGCCAAATGTGATGACCTTCTGCCAGTCCGAGTTTCTTGAAGACTACTGGAATTTCCATTGCCAGCAGCTTGTTTGTTTCCCTTTTCTCGGGGCATTGAGAAACGCCGTACGTATGTCAGTACAGCCGCACCTCCATTTGTCGAGAGCTCCAAGACGCAGCATCGTCCGAACCTGATTGGCATCAGGCCAACCAGCGTAGTGTTCCGCATTGTCAGGAGCTTCATAGTTCCCACAGACCACTGCTCGGCTTCTAGAAGCCCCGCTGCCAGCTTTCCTGGTGTGCACCATTTTTCTGGCAACACTTCAATCGGCAGCCACGTTGTTGTGCTAGCCGTTGCAGCTCGGTCTTTGTGATCTGTCTCACAGCTTGTTTGTTTTTCACCAACTGGTCGTACTCCGCCTTGATTGACGGTTGCCATGCATCTAGGCTCGCCCACGCCTCCGCATTGCTGATCGTCTTTGTGACCAAAAACACTTGGTTCAGCTTCTCCAGCGTTCGCTTGGTTTCACACATTCTTGGGCATCTTGAAGCTGGTATTCAACCATCATCTTCATGTTGATGGCCTCCGCCAGGGCACCAATCCACATGGATTGCTCCTCGGATGTAGCATCCAGCTTGTCATACTCAGTCTCGATGTACTCCGCCAAGTTGCTGTGAAGACCTCGAAAAGCTGCTGGACCTGTCATACCTGAGGCCACCGGGCATGCGCCACCAACCCGGTCGTTAGGCGCCTCCACCAAATCCCCTCCTCGCAGTCCCTCCACCTCCACATCTGACTGCATTGTGGGCGTGTCAGCTTGTGAACTTGCAGAGGTCTGCTCGTCTTCTGTGCTCCGGGACCAGCTAGACGCATCACTACCGTTTATATCATCCATTATCATCCATTTCAAAGTGGGTTTGAAGATACCCCCGAATTTGAAAAACATTGTGGCTACAGGTTATCCCTTTTTTGGCCCGTCCTCCCCCTTGGTGTCCAACATCGACCGAATTGCCGGCACTGCTGTCTTCCCACGTAGACGCCTGGTTGGCACACCATCCACCATCATAGGAACAGGCCGCTCTCGTTCTGGGAGAAAGACGTTGGGTTTACCTGGGGGGTCAGCTTGATCCGGAGTTGATGTTGGTTCCACCACATCGTCCGTGAAGAAGAATCGACCCGCAGCCACGCTTTGCACATAGTAGTTGGTTGTTGTGAAGCTGCTGCATCGATCAGGGCCCATCACTACCACCTCCCCCCTCCCATCTCTCCATGGACAGCACCTGTCCTGCCATGATTTTTTCAGCGCGAACGCTTTTGTGCCAAACTTCAGAAGAGGCGCTGCTGGCCACCCAATGCTTTGCAGCTGACATCGCAATCTCCGCTCGCCCACATGCCGAAGTGCTAAAGGCCAGGATTCCAACGGGCACAGCTTGGCACTGATCAGTGTTCTGACTGCCCTTTTCACGGCCCCCACCTCGTTCTCAACTCGACGGACAGGTGCTGATGTGAGCTCACAAGCCCGATCACAGTGAATGCGATGCAGTGGCAGCCCAAGATACCGAAGACGTGCATAGATCCTGGCCAATGCTGGCAGCACATCCTTCACAGCTCGCGATGGGATGACCTCAGTGAAGGTGAGGTTCTTGACACCAACATTCTGTGCATCTTCCACCAATCGATGCCATACGTCAAAGGCTGTCCGCATCGTTTCCTCTACCAGACCTCAGGGCCAGGTTCAGGAACGCTTTGTTCTTGTAGTGGATCTTGTGGCTGTTCAAGTTCGGCTGGATCTTCAGAAGCTGGTGGCAAATCTCCCCCGTCATCCATCATCACTTCATCATCATCCGTCACTTCAACATTCGGAACTTCAAAAATCTTCAAAAGTCGTTCGATCGCCCCCCCGTGTAAGTCCATCGACGGCAGAGGTTGATCGTGTTGAGGATCTCGGCCACCCCCTCCGCATAAGTCCATCGACGGCAGAGGATGGTCCTTGTTCTCCTTTGGAGCTCCCGGATGATCAATCAGGGATTTGCCATCACCTGTAACTGGAAAAGTGTAGCACGCCACCATGATGTAGCGACATCGATCACCTCCTTGCTCTTTGCCCACAGTCATCTTTCCAGAGAGATCGATTGAAAGAGTGAATGCATCTGGATGAGATACTCTCCGGTGTGGACGGCTTCCACCTGGGCTCTGACGCGGTGCATGCAATCTCTTCGTGCTGGAAGGTGGTCATGTAGAAAGTGCTGCTTCCATGCCTCCAATGCGACCTGGTTCAGCGGTCGTAGAGATGGTTGTTGTCCAGCAAGCACTTCTCCCGCCAGCCGTTGCATGTGCCTATTCAAGGCTGTTGAGATCGCAGCTTTCAACCCTGGGCCCAACACGCCCATGTTTTTGATTCTTGCATTCGCTGCTGCATTGACATCGCTCTGAAAGCCGCAGTAGCTCTTTGTTCATCCTCAGGTTCACCACGAAGGCCCTCTAGTTCAAACAACTCCATCATGTTGGTTGCCGTAGTGGTCGGCTTTCTCTTTTTGTGCCCCATCGGATGCTGATCGAAGTGAAGCAGGTTGATGTTGTACCGGTCTTGGAACTGTTGCCATTCTTTGAACTTTGGTACGAAACATTGAGAAATACCGATGCTGCTCCACATCCTGAGGCTTCCTGTATCGTGCTGGATCCTCCGGTTGTTCAAGCACCAGTTGAGTCGGTGTGCTTTGAGGATCCCGGACATCTTCAGCCACAACAAAGAGAGATAGACCTCTGAACCACAGCACCACGTCACCCTCCACCAAGTCCATGTCAGATGGAGACAAATCACAGGTCTTCCATATGGATGCTCATCATCTCGAAGAACACCTGGACCATCATCACCCTGGTAACGCGATGCCGAGATTGTTCGACATGGTGGCCCCAGCAGCACTGCTCGAACTCGTCCTGTGGCACAGAGCGACAGCAAGTAGGCGTAGTAGACATGCTTGTCGTGTAAGTTGGCAGCGACATTTCCTTGAAGATCGACGCACAGCACTTCGGTGGTCCCACTCGAGCACTTCTGTTCCCAGTACTTGTGGTCAGCATGTGCAGCACGATATTCTTGGCCTTGAGGAGCTTACGCTTTTTGTGGCGGTTCCATGGAAGTTGTTTTCCAAAGTTCTCAGCCTTCACCTGCTCAAGTCTTGGGATGAGTCTCATCATCACCTCATCCGGAAGGTCAGGGAAGAGCCCCTTCATCTTGAGGGTCATCGCCACTTCGGTGTCAAGGCTCCTCTTGTCGACCAAAGCATGATCTGGGATCAGTGTCTTGACCACTGCCAACTTCCGTCGTTGATGGACGTAGAAGCCCCCAGCGCTTGGGTCGTTGGGCTCATACTGTAACCCTTCATATCCTAAGGCGCTTCACACACCTTTTCTTGACCAAAAATGCCTAGATGTCGTCGGATCTGACGTGCCATTTGAATCTATGCGCAGACTGAGAAATCGTTGGAAACTGGCTAGTATATTCAGGAAGGATCCAAATGCAAATAGAAGATATGTAAAACACATTACGAAAAAATAAATTAGAATAGATTAGATGTAAAATAGATGGAAGCAGTGTTGCAAGAAAAAGTCTCATCACAGCAGTCATATGATGTCATAATCACATTCCTTGTAAGATCTTGAAGCATCAAGCTTCATGAAGCCCTGAACTCACTAGATCAAGTTCAGACGGTTCGAGATTTCATGAGATTTTGCAGCATCTTCAATTCGTTCGCTGGTGGCAAGGTCCAAACATTGACGAGACAGCCAACAGAAGGCTCTTGGTGCATGCTTTCTAGACTTTCCCCACAACTTCCACCCCGTCTACGTTGAGCAGAATTGTAGAGCTTCGCACGCCGGCGATGCCCTGTGGCTTGGAAGCGGCACCGTACTGTGGAGCTGAATGCATGGTAGGTGTGTGGATGAGAATGCAGATAGTCGCCGGGAAGGGGCATTGTGATGTAGGTGGAAAGTTCCGTGCCAAGGAACTTTGGGGAGTGGAAGTTCTTGTTGTTGATGTTGATGTAGATGTTGATGATGTTGATGTTGTTGCTGTTGTTGTTGTGGTTGTTGTTGTTTGTGGTTGTTTGTTGTTGTGTGTTG